GGGGAAACATGAGGAGAAGAGCCCAGCCGCCCTCATCAGCTGGATCGGTCTGAATGCGCTGAAGTGGGAGAGTAAACGCACGAGCCACATCTCCTCTAATAGCATGTGGTATCCGGGGCATATAACGAGCACCAGGACGCGGCAACAACTCTGCCTCAAGATCAATACTCCGTATCCAAGACCAGTGCGCCGCGGCAGGTGGAACTCTCACGCCACGACGAGCTGAGGCAGCACCAAGGGCAACCTGCTCCTGCCGCTGTGCTTCTCGCTTGTCGCATGACCGCTTGTGTTGTGTCAGGCCCCGAAGGCCCTTGAAGCGGCCCTGACACTGATGGCACTGGCGCCAATCAATGGGTCCTGGCTCGGCAGCGGCGCGTGATGCTCTTGAGGTGGAAGGGCCTAAAGTGGACGGTCCTGCAAGGGCTGGATTTGAAGCAAGGGAAGCCATAACCAGCCTATTCACAGCTCAAAGCAATGATGCTGAGCTCAAAAGTACTGGTAAATGCAAAGATGACATGGCTGAACTGTACAATGCAGCCAAGCCTGTGAGCTACAGGGTCACTGAGCACAAGAAGCAGGGGAGTGCAAATAGGCTGCCTACAACAGTACACAAGAGAAGCTACAGCGTGAGGGGGGTCAGCAGCGGAGCTAAGATGGGAGAGGACAAAAAGATCACAAGCTAGACACACAATGCAAATTCGTGACCAAATCTGGCCACCTCCGCTCAGATGGAGATAGGCCACAAAAAGGATACTGCACCGATCGCGAGAGCGTCTAGACCGGCGGTTCTTACTACCATCTGGACAAATTTAACTGACTGGGTTAAAATTCTCAATTGACGAGGCCAGGGGGAGTGCTTTGACCTCCAGCAGCATCAAAGCCAGGCAGCATGACCGGACTCAATCACTCGGCTACTGGAGATTCTACGATAGCAAATTAAGGAGAAACATTGAAATGCAACAGGCCGCCTGTCTCCTCGTCAGGCCGAGCCGCATTGACATATTGAACAACGGCTTATATTTGTGTGGTAATCATGCGTCAATATATGTACGCACCTTGAATGTCGCAACGCGCGCAAGTTACTACTAGTACTATGGCTTCAGTTTAACTGAAAGGAGGATATGCACAAGGCCTGGCATGGCAGGAGCCTGTCTTTATCTTCTCCCATCGTAACTCTCAATAGGTCTATTTAGCGGGTATTTAGCTGGCTTAATATGATAGTCACACTTAGAGTCTTTCGGGCATGACTCGGTAGCTAGCTGAGCTGCATTCTGTAGGCTCGTAGTTGCATACAGAAGAACTAGCACATGTTAGATTGCAATTCGATGAAATGTGCAGCATGCCCCCACGAAGCATAAGCTTTCAGCCCAAACGATCCAACCCAACCTTCACCAGCTTTGTGATATTCGCCGTCTCATCCAGGCAATCGATGCAGCAAAGCGACTCGGCCGGCGGCCCTGACATTGCCGTATCAGATTCCCTTCGATCTAGTGAAGTAAGTTCGATAAGTTACTCGAAGGTTTCTTAAATTCTTCAAATTAGGAGACTCAGAGTACCTCCTCATGAGTACCTTACGAAGAGATGGAGCTAGTAGCGGATCGATTGCATACAAAATTCAGGTTTCCATTTCGTTTAACTAAAAAAGTGTCACGAGACGCTTAACATGAGGGTCCAAGGTTGCTGGAGTTCTGATTTTGGAGCAACTGATCCGTTACTTCTCTCCAGTCGATCATCGTCGGCAAAGGGGGGTTGACCGTCCTTGAGTTTTGACTGAACTCTACTCCCTTTTCAAAGCTAGCCCGCCTATTCCCACATCGTTAGGGGAAAAAAACGGCAAATCTGAAGGTCCAGATCCTAGGCCGCTAAATATATTTACAGAAACGACTGAAGAGCCGGGAGTTTTGCTTGAAACTGGGTCTGGACGCACTTCCAAGTAAGTCGGGAAACTACCACTACTACTGTTAACCGAAGGGTACGTAAGTGGGTGCACACCGTCGACTCTATCAGATTGGCATGTGCACTACAGCATGATATAAGAGCGTATCTGTGTTTTTTACACGACCCTACTGGTATCAAAACTCATTATGTCAATTGGAAAACCTAACCCGTCCACCAGGAGTTCAAGCAAAGGAGGTAATCCTGACAAGCGGCTCCACCCAAATGGTCTCAAGCTACCCCCGCCGTTTCATGCCAGGCTTGATTGCCTGCTGTAAGCTGATGATTTCGGCCTCCTACCCGGGCGCCGCACTCGTAGCAAACCGACTCTTGCATGGCCCCGCCACACTCTCCGATGGCATACGGGTGCCCGTTGGGGCAAACGTACCAGTGCCTCGCCCTGAACCCCATCGCTTCCATCACCGCCCGCTTCTCTTCGAGCGTAACTTCCGCCCGCCAGCCCTCTCTTGCCGCCTCTACCAACTTCGGAATCGTCTCATCAAGAAGCTCGCGCGCGGCGCCGCCCAAAGCCGCGTTCTCGGAGACGGACCGCATCTCGTGGACCGCGACGCGCGCGCTGAGCTCCCGGGCCTCCGCCAGCGCTGCCAGCTGGCCCTCCAAGTCCGTCGCGGGCTTCCTTCCCGCCCCGACGATCGCCCCGGTGCACCTGACCCACGCCACGAGCAGCCTCGCGGACGCCAGGTCCGTGCGTGCCTCGGTCCAATGGTTCTTCCTGCCGCGCGCGAGGCGCGCCGCTCCCGAGAAGTAACTGGCGGCGCTCTGAAAGGCCGACTTGTAGCGCTGATCTGCATCGTCTTTCGGGTCGCCCATCTTGCCCCGACCAGGACCCGCAGTCGGCCGGTGGACAACCGCGTGCGCGGCTAAGCGCATCGCAAGCTCGGCGATCTCGCCTAGGCCAATCAGGGCTTCGCAGCTGGCGCTGACGTCAGGAGGTGGGACGGCCAGCCCTTTCGCCCGTGCCAAGAGCAGCCCTTCTTCATTCCCCCCTTCCGCCTCGTGCATAGCCGCGCGCTTGATGCTCGCCAGGGTCGCCTCGTACACTTTGACCGTGGGGGGCCTCGCGCACTCTCGCGCGATCGTTTCGAAGTCCGCAAACAGCCGGTCCAGACGCGCAGACAGAACCTGCGACGTTGCAGGCGCCGGCGCCTCGCCGCGGGCCACGACCCCATTCACCTCCTCGCGCACTGTGCCGACTCTGTCGAAGACGTTGGCCAGCTGGCGCTGCGAGTTCTGGATGAACTGCCGCTGCGCTTGGTCGACCAGCGCCTTCTTCGAGATGCGGCCGTATCGCTTGACGCCGCTGATCGGCGCCCGGCAGTCAGGGCAGCCCTTCACGTTCTGAAACATGTCGCTCAGCGGTTTCACGCCAAGCCACTCCCCGCGTTCCGCTTCCGCTCCGCCTGCGGAACTCCGCTCGTAGACCGTCTCCAATCCCAGGTGCCCGTCCAAGGTGGACACGGTGTAAGGATGTCCGCACGAGAGCGTGATGAGGGGCTCCTCCTCCGGGTCGTGCTCCCCCAGCGACGTCATCATGACGAGGTCGACCACGTGGTCATTTTTCACCGAGCAATCCCGGCAGGCGACCCGCCCCTCCGGGCAGTCCTCCCCGCACAGCCCGGGGCACCGATGCCCGCAGTCGAGCGCCCTTTCACACCGCGCGTCGCAGGGTAGGCGGTCGCACGGCGCCCCGCAGGGGGCGGTGCATGCCCCGCGGTGTGAACACGCCCACTGGCAGGTCTCCGCACAGGGCGCGCAGGGCGTGGCGCACTTTTGCCCACAAGCGCTGTGCGCGCACTTGACAATGCACGTCTCGGGGCAGGGCCCGCACTCTGTCCCGGCGTGGCAGAGGCGCTTGCAAAAATGTCCGCAGGCGAACGTGCGCCCGCAGGGTTTCTTGCACGTCCCGTGGTTGGACCTTTGGGGAAGCGGCGCGTCAGCGTCGCGCGGGGTTTGGGGGTTTCTGAGCGTCCGGTTCAAACACCTGCCGCAGGGCTCCCCGCACTCGTGGCCGCACTCAAGCGACGCGCCGCAAATTGCCGGGCACAGAGAGGGGTCCGTTTTCAGCTTCTGAACTTCTGCGCAGGCGATCGGGGGAAGATCGTGGCCACAATGACCTACTTTGGCTCCGGCGACGAGTTCGCGGCAGTCAATGGCTTCTGGGGTTTGGGCAACCGCGCACCTCACGCCCCTAGCCACGTGTCCACAGGGAAGCGGGACTTCTGGGAGCGACACGTGGCAGAGGCCGCACTCGTCGCCGCAGAGGCGAGGGCACGGGTGCTGATGAGGGCACTCCGTGACCTGGCGGAGCCGGAGGCAGGGCTTCGGGCAGTGGACGGACACGTGCTGAGGGTCGTCCACGTGGCACCTGAAAAGAAAAGTAAGGTCAGCGCTCTCACTTTTGGGGTGCGGCGGCTTGAAATAATAGGCATACAGAAAGCCTGCACACTTTGACGATCATGCACATGAAGCGCATTCGTGCTCACGCCAGCGTCTCCAGTTTGCGGAGTTCAAACAAGCATTTGAGCTACTTCGCTATTGAGCTTCGATGCGAAACAGGGATGCTAAGAGAGCCACTGTCTATCAGCCTTTGGTCCATTCAAAACCACTATGGTAGCTTAACAATGCAGCTTTCCCTGATTTGCGCCGTTTTCCAAGGTGTCAGACGAAGCACAACTGTGGGACCAATCCGGTACGAAAGCAAAGAGAATGTATCGTCCGCAAAGGCACTGAAAATTCCTCTTGCATCATTTCCTTTCTGGTTAGGCGAATTTGACACCTTGCTACCCGAGCACCCGCACCTCGGGGCAAAATGTGATCCACTAGTAAAATGGATTTTCACGGCTCTTTCTATTCTGTTACGCTTTGGCCCGGATCCTGGGCGAGTCTATACTTTGTACATGGCAGATGAAGTGACCATACCTTCTCGGGCAGTCGTGGCCGCACGGCAGCCGGAACTCGCACTTGAGCGAGCAGCCCCCGTCGCCCACCAGCTCCTGAAAGTCTTTGGCTTCTTTAATCAGCGTCTTCGTCTCGGGGTGGTTCTGGCAGACGACCGGTAACGCTGGCCCCACTCCATCGCCGTCCGCTATCAACCTGAGAGAGAGGGGTTTGAAATGAAACGTTCAATCAGACCAGAAGGGAATGCATTCGATCCTCGGCGCAGCTTTGGCCGCTGTCAAGAATCAAAACAGGATACCGGACCAAAAACTAGAATGCGGTATTTATCATGCTCTTGTCCAGCAAGATGGATGCCGATTTCCAAGGCTCATCTATCGTTCTAAAGAGTGTTTTAAATACTGGGTGGATCTCAGGGAGTGACGAAGCAATTTCGTCAGTTTTAACGTATTGTTTTGTGGTTGTATCGAATTACGTCTGGCTCAGTCAATAACATGCTTCCATTCTCACTCTGGTGACCTGCTTCTTCGAGCCGCCCAACAGAACAAACTTCGAGCAGTACCAGTGGTATGACAAGATTCAGCCGCCAGTTGGTTCAATCGACGGTCAAAAAGCATACACACCATGCGGTCAACGCAGAGACAGACAGTTTCGTAGTGCTGACGTCAGCAACCAGCCGTCAGCAGACACCTTTGCCTTCTGAGCAGACACGCCTTTTCGAGTCAACACGGACAATAATTCAGGCTGGGTGCTTTAATAGACGATCATCTCCAAATCCTCGCCGGACACCCCTACCTGAGGACCTGGGGCCACATTTTGGCCGACGGGTTTGCGCCGAGGGTCGCCGCGTTTCCGACGAGGTACATCCCCTTCTTTGCGCGCGACAGGAGCACGTTGGCGCGGTTCTTCTCCTTGACGAACCCCACGGAGCCTCTCTCGTTGTTCCGGACTAGGGAGATGATTACGACGTCGCTTTCTTCGCCCTGGAAGCTGCATCAGGAGTCGTAACGCCTGACGAATGTGGTCTGCGAACGATCTCACGGCTGATGATCCAGAAACTTTGTAAAGTCCGAGTGCTCAAACCTGAGTGATTCGACACAAGAGAGTACTTCGAAGGGTACGATCTTGTTGGCTCGTGGAGCCGGAACAGGCGTCGGTCTCTTCAGCAGTCAGAATGAACCCCTTGCATCCAAGTTGGAGTTCCTTCTGGTTACTTGGTACAATGTAGACGATCACCGTCTCCAAACATCTGCATACCCGCCAGGCTGAGCACAACAGCAACGTCTGAGTGTCATTACTAAATCTCTGGATCGACGGCAACGAACTTGCTTACAAAGTATACGAAGTGGAAACCTGAAAGCTAGAATTTCAAATCAAAGACAAGTTTAGTACAGACTCCAGCACTCCGAGTAGGATTAGCACCAGCAAAGCGCCGTCCGCTGTACGGGAAGACAAAAAGTGGACGCAGTCGTAAAGACTTTTTCGCGTTCCAGGGGATTGTCAGATCGAAAACTTGAGTTTGAGGCGCTCAGAAATTGCAGATACAAGCTCTTTCAAACCCTAGAAAGCCCCATTTATTAAGACCCGTTCGCCTTACAGTGTCCAGATCCAGAATATGCCCAATATTCTTCCTTGAAATCAAGCCGCTCCCGGAGATTCATGAAAAGTCACCCTACGCACACGTGTACTTTTGCGTAACGGACCCCTCAAGCAACTAGGTGTGAGACCTCACTTGTCGACAGTCGCCAGGCGGACGCTCTCCTTCGCGGTCGTCCTCTTTACCACGGCGCCCCACACAGGCTCCTCTGGCGGCGCTTTGCCTTCCCCCTCTGCGCCTGCCCTTGCCTCCGCTGCTTCCTCAGCTTTCTGCAGCGCTTCGGCGTCCCGCTCCTCGGTTTGAACCACCACCTGCTTCGACAGGAGTTCGCGTAGCAGGCGCAGCTGGCCGAGGTAGGGCGTCAGGACCGTGATCTCGCCGACCGCCTTACCCTGGGAAAAGGAGGACTTTCATGTGCTGGTTTGGCCCGGCGGTTGTAAAAGCGGCATCTTCGTTCTAGTGTCACTGATTTACGAGTGGCGATGTATTCGCCATTCCCGACTCCTTCCTGAGTTGATGATGAGTAAGCAAGCAACGGACTAACAGAGAGCACGAACGTTGACTCCGACTTTGAACAACTGAGTGAGTACTCTGCACAGTCCTTGTCGCGAACCATAGGTAAACTTGAATCAACTCGCACCAGAAGGATTAGATCACGCAGAAGACGAATAGCAGAAGCGATCACTTGGCCGGACGACGATACCTCACCCGTCTGGACGGTTCGCATCTCTTAAATACAAAACGTTTAGCACTGTCGCATTCTGAAAGCGCTTTGAATAAAGTGAAAGTTCAGAAGACGCACTTGCATGAAGCAGCTTTCAGACTGGGCTCCGAGTAGTAATGAAGCGGTGTCTCCATCCCTTTCACCAGAACAGAATCTAAGACGGTGTCACACCGTTTCGAGCGACGTCTAAAGCAGGCTTCGAAGCAGCTTCAAAACAGATCTGAAGCCGAATCAAAACTGATTACCGTACAACCAGTTATCAAGCCAGCCTGTTAAACCTGGGATAATCTCAACTCACCTGGCGGAGGAGATACGCCACAAGCCCCACCACCATCTCCGCTTCAGCTCGGTTGGCGAACGATATGGACTCCGCGTCTCGGCTCCTCTCCGCGTGGTCATGGTCCCAGAAGAACAGGTTGTGGAACATCCCGGGGACCGGTCCGTACCGCATTACGTTCGGTGCATCTTTCAAGGTCGGGTAAACCGTTTGCCGGACCAGGTTGGAGATTGCGGGAGCCATGCGACGTTGCGTCGTCAGCGTGTAGACCGGGAAGTTGACGTCAGCAATCAGGCGCTCGAAGAGCGAGACGTCCAGGTTGTAGCCGCGGCGCGACGCGACGGACAGCTCGTAGACCTCCGTCTTTGGCCGCAGCTGCTCCTGGTCGCCTGAAAGGAGAGTGAAACGAGAAGATTAAGCTGTTTTGCTGTCTATTTCCTTCTTTATTCAGTTTGCCAATTTGGAGAACACTCGATCAGTCTGGCCCTTCGCTGGTTTTCTGCTCTGAGAATTCTAAAGTGAAGGACGTAAGCTTCCCTTTCGGAATCTTCATCGCTGCAACACTCGATCATGCAAAGGTTCTGCGGACAAGTTACTGGCCTTGTGGGATAGATCCGGAAGGGGTTCCCCGCGACATTTTTCATCAAGCGCTTTACTTTCGAGTATCTTAATCTTTCCCTCTTTCCGGCATTACGGCTGTACCATAAGACGGTGAAAACTACGTGTACTTTTACAGTCGAAGATGCAACTCAGAAGCCGCGGCAGAAGCCAAGCCTGATTCCAGAAAATCCAACGCAAATCATTCCTCCTGGGTCGCCTGGCCATCAATTTAAGGCCTACTCCTGCGATCCTAATACAGGCTTGCAGAATCTCCACAAACTTGCGAGATCGTGCTGGGCGGCTCTTTACCGATCAGGATAACGTGCTCCGTCCTCGATGACAGTGACGTCAGCACGTGCGCCTCCAGCACTTCGGCGGCCTCCTCGACCACGATGACCCTGGGCCCGAGCGCCTGGATCAGCTGCTGCTGCTTGGCGACGCCCGTGGTCGTCATCCCCACGATCCGCGCCCCTTGCAGGATGCGCAAGTCGGTCAGATCCCAGGTCTGGCGCAGCTCGTGCCGTAGCCTGGAGAGCGGAATCTGGTGATCAGCGCAAGGCAAAGAGAGAAACAATCTTTGGCAAACGTGCTAGGTAGTGGGTTGAGTCCCGAATCTGATGTCTTACCGAAAGCCTCTCCGAAGGGAAATGTAAAGACCAAAGGTTCTGACAAAAAATTGCGTTCGTGATGTTTGAAGGAGTCAAGAAGGGACTGCTCAAAGATCATGCAGTCCAAATGAGGCACCCCAGATAGCGACAAACATGCAAGAAAGGAAATATGTCTCTTGAGACTTATTTTTTGCTTCACAGACCTTTCAGAGCATTACAAAATGCTGATTCATTGCCTTTGACCCCGCTAACAGCAACGGCCATTCGACTTTCTCATTTCTGCTGGGAATAGTCACGGAAGACTCGCGTCACAAACCACTGAAATCACTCCGGGTATGGCTTTGTATTTACATCAAGAACGGCGGGCTCAACTTAGAACAAAGTGCAAAGGAAGAGCCTAACTCAGACTCCCAAAAACCACTCAGGTTATAATAATCCACCATTTGACCACGCTTAAGAAGCGGACACTCACTCCTCGTAGCGCCTAATTCCCGCGAGAAGCTGCTCACGCCCGACTCTCAATCGCTCCTGCTGCCAACGATCGTGCAACTTCCTTCGTTCCCTCATACTTAGGCTCCACGCGTCCCTTTCGCGTAGAAGAACTTCCACCGGCCGGTTGGATAGGGGCTTTTTGACTCGCTTTTTAGAGGGATCCCCCTTTGCACGCGGCCCCGTTGATCCTCCGCTCCCGTGTTCTCCCACTCCCGAGACGCCTTTCAAACGCATTGCCTGCATCTTTTCTCCCACCTCTGCGGCGTCTGCCGCGCCCTCGACGTGGACATTTTCCTCCCCCTTCAAAAGCCCGCACTCGCCCAACCCCCCCAGAATGGCAAACGGGTTTGGCTTGACCAGGTCGGGTTCTTTCCGGGGGGCCCTGACTGCCGCTCGTTTCTGCCCCGGGTTGACGAGCCACCGGTCCCAAAAGTGCCCCTCCGTGATAAACCCCTCCGAATCCTCATCGGCCGCTCCTCGGCTCAGCGACGTGTACAGCCCGGGGGCCTCCATCTCGATCAGGTCCGAAACGTCGGACCAGTGCAGGAACGCGCGCGCGGACAGTGCGGACGTCTGCGCGAACGACTCCTCGTACCTTCTAATCTGCCCCAAGCACTCGGCCTCTTTCCGACTCTGCTCCCGGGCCTTGGAACCCGCATTCCGCCGGAGCTCGTGAAGGTTGAAGGGGGCCAGGGCCTCGCATTTGCTGCGCCCCCCCACGCGGACCAGCTTTTGGACCCCCGCTTTTAGCAGACCTTCCAGGAATTGGTCGAGCGCGTGGTTTGTGTAGCAGACGCAGAGAATGGGTCCTAAGGCCGGCTTGGTGCCAGCGAGGGGTGCGACGCGGCCGCGGGGCGCGGAGCCGCTGTTGCGGAGGAGCGCTTGCACGATCTTGATGCCCAGAAAAGTCTGCGGAAAATGCGGAGGTGTCTTGACGTCAGCATCGCAAAGCACATCAGCCTGTTCAAACTTCTTGAAAGGTCAAGAAAAGCGGACGGACGCCTTTCCAGGTCGCAATCTGCAAGGAAGGCGTGATAGAACCAAACAAACTCCGAAACACAGGTCACCAAGACTCGTTGACGACAGATTCGTATGAATTTTGAAAGATTCTACTGACAAATTCGTTGACGAAATTGGAAGAAATCTCTTAAACAAATTAACCACAAGCTTGCTGACGCTCTGACAATGTGTGTCAAGTGACATGGGACAGACTGGAGGTCCAGGCAAACGTGTCGGCCGAGAAAACGAGATGCGGGTTTCCTTTTTCGAGCATGAAGACGCATTTGCCTGATTCCCATGGCGCTTTACAGGAAGCGAAGCACGTATGAAGAATTGATCCAACGGGACAGTGAATCTGCCGAGAGCACCTTCACAAAATCTCCAGCAAATGCTTCAATCCTAAGCTGCTGACACAAGAGCGAGATGTATCCCCTCACCTTTCCCGTGCCAGGAGGCCCTTGGATCAGAACCAGCTCCTCGGTAAGAGCGGCCGCGAGCGCGCGCGCCTGGGGCTCGTCCAGGGACGTCGTCTTCACCAGCAACCCGGTTGGAAAACCGCCCTGCCTTCCAACCGGGACGTTTTCTAGTTCTCGACGGGACTGCTCCGTTACACCGGTCGAACCCCCCGCCAAGAAGCTGAGGTCATAAGACGTCGTCCCCGTCAGATAAGCAGGAGCGCTTACATTAACTTCGCCATCGTTGGGCTGCCGGCATATGTAGCGCGAGAAGGGGAAATTGCCCTCCGTCAGTCTCTGGAGAGCCTTCAGGGTGGGTTCGTATGAGAAGAAGCTCCCGGAAGCCTCTACTAAAATGGCCCCCGAGTCCGCTTGCCCGCCCCCCGTTTGGTTTCTGGACTGAAGCGCTGCGATGAACTCGCCGGCAGAGTGCTCATCCCGGCTGTTGCACAAACGGACGCCGATGCACGGCCGACTCTCCGCCAGCTGCTTCGGGTCCCTCTCCGTGACGGTCGCGAAAACTAGACCGAGGGCGTTTCCGGCGCCGACGCCGGCGCGCAAGATGCACACCAGCGACCCGAACTCGAGCCGCGAGCTGTTCTCCCAAAACTCCAACCGGCGTTGTTTCCCCTTTCCGACCCCCGAAAGCTCCTTGAAGCTCAGCACGAAACAGGCGCCGTGCGCGTTGCCTTTCACCGACTCCACTCTCACATCGTCGTAATGAATCACATCCACCTGGTTCACCCCCGCCCCATCGGTCTGCCTCCCCCCCCCCGGCCCACTGCCGACGGACCCCCCTTTCCAGGACGGTTTGCACCTTGTCGTGAAGGGGCCCCATCAGATCCTGCCTAAGCAGGCGGAAGTGCACGTCGAGGTGCCGGTCGACAGTCCCCCGAGGCAAATGGTGCTGGCTGCCCGGCAGCCCCGGGCGCACGTTGGCCGGCAGAAAGGGATCCCGGTTGGAGAGGACCTCGGCGGGGGTGGGGGCAACGAGGATGGCGCGAAAATCTTCGAAGTCGTTATCGTGTCGAGGCTCTCCGGTTTCGCTTAGGTGCCCGGGACCGTCTTCTGGTACGCCGAGGTCGGGCAAGGCGGCGATAGGAGTTGATGAAGGTCCGGCTTGGTTTTGTTGCTGCTTCGAGAAACTCGCGTCGGCTTCGTTGGCCAGTCCCAGCAGACGCAGCAGAACCTCCAGCGGGCCTTGTGACCGGCGCTGCGAGAGAACAAGCAGCTTTGAGTTAGAGCTTTCAAATCGGTAACGCAGGGTTGATCAGAAGGTAGGGCCATCATGCAGTGGGGACATCAACTTGAAGCAAAGATGTGAAGAACGTAAGAACCTTTGGTTGTCCGAACGAAGCTTCTTTGCGGAAGGAGTTGAAGCCGGAGAGAGATACCTTTACATGCGTGACGGTGGAGGGAGCCGCTGACTTCTGCGCGAGCTGCTGTTGTTGCTTTGAGAACCTCGCTTCGGCTTCGTCGGCCAGGCCCACCATACGCAGCAGGATTTCCAGCGGGCCTTGTAAGCGGCGCTGCACGATAGCCAGCAGCTTTGAGTTAGGGCTTTTGGATCTTTTTTAACAAGGTTTGGTCAGTAGAAAAGCGTCTTAGGCTTTCATGCTCTGGCTTGACGACAGTGCAGAAGACGACAACTTCTTTGACCCCGTGGGGTTTCCGAGCAAGCTTTGGCAATTACTGTACGTCCGAGGTCAGAATCGGACGAACATCAGCTTTGTAAATCTGGAAAGAATCGTTTCTAATAAGGTGACCATCTCGAAACGAGTGACTGCACAGATGTCAAGCTTCTCGGTCGAAAATAGGACTGATCTGAACATGGAATTGTACGGAGATTTGGAAGCAGACAGCATTTTCCGCAACAGAAAGGTGGTGGTCAAGGACAGAGAAACAATTCAGGTGGTCACTACTTCACATTGCAAGACCCGTTTCATCTTATTCAATTTCTGACTATCATTGTCTCTTAACATCTCAAATAGCTTATGCTCATGGACGACTAAGCGGATCTGAACAGATTGCTGTAAGTGCATATCTGATTGAGCACACAGTCAAGATCTCGAGAATGTTGCAAATTTAGGGTTTAGATTCTGCCAAAAGAGGGATGGCCCTCCTTTCCAGACAAGAACTTGTTGACTACTGAATTTTGTATTCCATGTCTCTTCAAAGATCTCCCCCTAAAACACATGGTAGCTGCACTTACCACAAGGTGTCCTGGCGGCCTCAGATCTGTGACGCACTGGTCCACCAGGTTCGCAAGATCTCGCACGTGCTGCTGCATCCGGTCTTGATGCACCTTGTCCCTGAAAAGCATGCAGCTCTGCAGAAAGTATGCTGAAACAGTCTGAGCAGCTTCAACCGCTGGTTCGAGCTCTGCTTGCTGTGCTTGGCTAGGGCTGCTTCTTCCCTCGCTGGCTAGAACTAGTTCCTTGAGTCTGTCTATGAGGTAGCCCTGGAGTCCCTCGACCTCGGAGAGAGTAGCATAGACTTTGGTGCTACAGGCTGTGAGCGGAGAGTTGGTGAACCCCGGGGAGGTGAGAAGTTTGAGCAGAGGAAGGATCAGCCTTTCGAAGTGGCCTGTGCCAGAGACACTGGCTGAGCTTTCCGCTGCAAATTGTGCGATGCTTCTGATGTGCTTGCGCCCGTACTTTGCATCGTCTCCCAACAAGAGAAGCAGCTGAGCTACGTCTTCCTTCTCGGCAGCGGCTCTCACAAACCTCTCCATCATCTCGGGTCTGCCTACGAAAGGATCTGCTTGGTTCAAAGCTACTTCCAAGAAGTCCCTGCTTTGGGCCTGTCTTTGATAGAAGGAGGCTCCCGCCTGTGACGTAGAACCAGGATCACGAGTGTGAGATTTGAAGCATGTGTCACCATATTTGCAGGTTCCCCTCTGGAAATGCTGACACACCACCCTTGGTAATTGCTTGGAACTCCTGGAGCCAGAGCCTGCAAAGATGTGTTAAGCACATGTCAGAATAGCAGTATGAGCTACAAGCAAAGCCGTTTGGACTGGCTCTTACCCACTGAATGCCGTACAAGGGCCATGTCGGTCACTCTCCAGCATTTTCCATTAGCAGGGGTCACATCCAAACCGAAACCTTCGATGCTTCAATGTTCTCATTTGGAAGATCTGATCAGAGTGATGTCAATCCTGTTTCTCTCTTGTCACATTTTCTTTTGGTGCGCAAATGCCCCGTGCAATTATGCAGCATTCACGGCAAAAAGGAAGGGCAGTTTCACAACCAGTTGACACTTCCTTTCTGCAGCCAGCTTTGGCAATGTGGAGCTTCCAGAATGTTCCAAGTCCTTTCTTGAGCTGCACAAGAAAGGCCAGGAAAGCACCTGACCACTGAAAGCGCTTACCTGCATGACCCTGTTTTCTGGGATCCATGTTGGCTTGTTGTCATTCAGTGCAAGCTCCAGCTGACGCCCTGGATGAAAAGCACTTGTTTTGAGTGGAACACTAAGTGGCAGAGGTGGCTGAGGTCAAGAACCAGTCAGGCACCTTGCCATTTGCCTTGCAAAATCTCAGAGCGTCCAAAAAGTTGCAATTTCAAACCCAGACATTACAGATCAAGATGGCCTTTACGATTCTTTCATGCCTTCAGTTAGTCCTGTCGCCCCACTCTCACTGCGTCAACTAAAGAGGTTTGTAGCGCTTCTGACCAGTTTTGTCACATGTCCTTCAAAAGCCGCTACTTTCTTATCTCCTTTTCTCGTGCCCTGCTTTTTCGAAACAGAGGCCTGAATCGTGCAACCTGGAGTGCACAAGCTTGGTGTTTCTGGAAGTCGAAAAGCGTAGAATGTACGCCTTGCTCAGTGCACCCACATTATCGATGTTACTGCCGCAACCTTCGGGCCAGGGGGAGTGCTCTCGTTCCGGAGTCCATACTGCGCATATGACTCTAGTACCTAATACCTATGCCTTCCGTGACGTCAGTAGTAGGTACGCCCGCATGACAGCGAACAGCACGTTCTTCACATGGACGACCGGGGAAACTCTGACCGCCGGATGCAGGTGAGGGAGTCATCGGACGCTAGTGAGCTGCTCATCGGCCCTGATATCGCGCAGCGCTTCTAAATCTCCCTTGTTCCGTTCCGCCCAACTTCAGCGGATTAACTAGTCTGACGGATCGATACTTCCGGCCCGTCTACCTATATCGGTCACGGGCATAGCACATGCACACGTACAATTTTACACGGTAGCCTAGCAAGCTTGGCGGGGCCACGGATGTATGAGGTAGGTGCTTGAGATTGTGTGGGAGGCGTTTGACTCTACCGGTACATTAACATCGACGGCAGCAGCTAATAAGAAGCTAGCTTAGTCAATCAATCACAGTGACCCTATTTGAAACAGCAAGGTAGTGACCGTATATTAAGGACTTTTGCATGCATATGCATGTGCATGGCGCATGCCCCCAACGTAGCTGTAGTTATAACTTATATCATATGCATGAAAAAGATGCATGGTACTGATGATTCAATACATGCCGACAATACTATCATACCTTTTGAGTTAAAAAGATGCATGATATAATCATTTATTTACAACTTAGACGCGGCAAGCAAGTTTATCCACGACCAGAGCTGTTTCGGATTATGCCTTATCTGGGTAATGGTGTTGATTGACATACACGTTCGGGCATCTATACATCATGCATATGCATATCTCAACTGGTTTCAATCTCATGTGCATACTAAGTGAATTTTCGACGGAAACGTACATCATGTATGCAATTCTGTGCAGACACTCATGCGTAGAATAAGCTTCAGCTATACTCGTCATAGAACGTGCCAAACAAATGAGAATACAATGTGGAATCAAGCGACCGGACAATCACCAACACACCTTACGATTGGCCGTGAAGTCTGCTCTTATTGTTGCCACTTTCACATATGATTCGTCGACAACTGATGGACTGTAAAGCGCATACCGACTCCGAGTCAAATTCGTTCCTGCTTGATCTCTGAGCTGCTCGGGATTCGTCAGTAACTCGTCAAGCGTCGTTCTTTGATTGAGCGAGTCACACGTCGCTTTACTTTGTGAGTTAAGTGTGGGTTGATTTCAAACTCTAACTCACCCTGACCACAAGTGGCGCCACATCGTGCAACTTCAATGTTTCGTTCCGAAGGTAAGTATGTCTTTTGAAATGCATCACATCGTAAGAAAACCCTCGAAGATCATTCGAGTGACGCGCTCGTTAACTCGGAGCTTGGCACCGGCGGGTGACTGGGTTCTTGCCCTTCTCCGCATGCTGTTGTGGCGCTGTCCGTGACGACAAGTCTACAGCAGAGTAAATTGCAGTGCTTAGGATCGCCCGCACCCTGCGTGCTGCCAAGGACGAAATTTCGAAAGAAGAAGAAATGCTCGAAGTCGCCCGGACGACAACCGCGCGTTGAGAGATACCATCTGATTCTGAAGGCTGTGGACGAGACAGAAACAAGCAGTTCAGGCAGTTTTCGCGCCCGAATGTTGACTTCATTCGCTCCCTTGCACGGATGCAACCGAGGAGTCCCCCACCAGGCAGAGTACAGTCCCTACCAGGCAGAGCAGCAACGAAATGTTCTGTGAGCGCAAAGGATGTGTTTCGGGCGGATGTGTCGGCAAACTAGTCCCAAAATGTCTGGAGGCCGAGTGCAAGCTACACAGAACGAATTTGAGGATGGAAGAAGATGTCGCTCTCGGACAAATTCAGGACAGGTTTGGTCGGTGGGGCCCCGCGAGTATAAGTGAGCATATTTAATGCCGGGCCTCAAAATCAACCCGCGCCGAGGCAATGCTTACAATAAAAGTCCCTTTCTTGCCCACGATCTCTTTCGCGGGGCTCGATTTGGGCCGTCCTTTGCCCCAAGATCAATTGCGCAACAGATATACTGCCCGTGGCACTTGAATGCAGGAAAAAAGTAGATCGTGAAACACCATTTCTTAGAGATGGAAGAGTAAGTCGTGAACTTCGAAATCGACGGGAAACGTCGGTCCCATTCTTCACGCTCCACATAGCAGCTATGGTTTGGGGTCTGCATACATCTACTCACTTCCTTAGCTCTCTTTCCCCTTCGACTCTCTTTGTCAAAGGACCCTGGCAGCCGCCGCATTTCCGACCCTTGACCCCTTGCCTCACCTCTCGGTCGTGCATCTTCCCAGCGAGCCCTGCGATCGAGATCCCGGTTGCCCAGCCGAAAGGGTCAAAACACGTTCGAGGACATGTCACATCGATCTCAAATGTTGCCACATGTCCAGAAGATCTTACCTTGGCGAGCTGTCTCGAGTCCTGCCACCAGAGCGCGTTCGCCCAAGCCGTCGGCTGACGCGCAACCAGAGCTGGAACGCTGGCACCTTTCTCAACCGAAGCTTCTCTCCGCCCCTCGTTGGGGCACGTCTTCCTCAGCTCGCGCCAACCTTCTTTCTACTGACATTACCCATTCCCCGCCGGCTTTCCTTCCTTCCAGGGGACGACGACCCCGTTCCGCGAACGTCAACCTTCCCACCGCTGACGTCACCCCCGCTTCCGGGCGACGCACTCGCGCAGCTGCCCCTCCAACACCGCACCCTGTAGGCCCGGGTTCAGCACGTGGCGCACATGCCATAAGCCGGCGTCTGACATCTCGTGCCATAAGTGATCGTCTGAAAACAGCCGGATGATGTGCCCGGCGAAGTCGGCCGGGTGGTCCGCAATCAGAAAGGGGGGCTCGTTCTCCCGCACCAGGAGCCCCCTCTTGCCCCACGTGGTCGTGACCAGGGGGATCCCGTTCTCCATGGCCAGGACGTTCTTGGTTGCGACGCCTGCAGGGGAGATGCTGGGGCTTACATTGTGGCCGGGAATGTAACGATTGAAAGAAACATTTCAAGCAGCCCGTGATAACGACGAAGTCAAACCTTCCCTCTTCTTATAAGCTTAAAGGGCGCACAATAAGGGAGTTTGATCATGGGTAGGAGACTGCGGGGGATTCAAATCGAGTGGGAACTTTTGATGCTAAACCAAACGCTGGTGACGAAGGCAAGTAGGTGACAATGGCACGGTAAAGTCGATGTCAGCATGAGTCAAACCCTGCAGATGCGATGGCGATGATTTGCCAGAGCTGAACCTGTATCTCATAAGAGAGAAACGTCCAATGCCTTGAAGTCGAGAAGAGGGAGTGCAGGCCAGACAAAGCATGGCGGAGCCAGTAAACGAAAAAGCAAGGGGAGAAGCATTGAAAGATGGACGACTACTCAGACATCTCGAGTAGGCCTGACACATCTTTGTGTAACGGAAAATCATCGAACAGTATTTTTGACAGACTTCCAGTTTGTCTTTATGGATCGATATGAAATGTTCAAAGCAACAGCTTGGCTTGAAGTGGAACTTACCAGTTCCCTTCACCATCGGCGAAATGAAGACGCGCGTCCTCTGCAGGTACTTGTCCAGTTCAGAGTCGCTCTTGAGCAGCCCCGGCGCCCACACCCCCAGAGGGTTCGACAGCGGGCTATCCTTCCACCCCTCTCCGATCAAGTATACATCCGGCAGAGGCCTTAGCAGATTTTGCAGAACTGGAAAGACCTCGTCAAAGAACCACCTCAAACCCGCCTCGTTGATGGGGTGGTTAGAGCCCACGAAAGTGATGATCTCCCTTTGCGAGAGTGGGTTAGAAGCACGGTTATCGCGGTTAAGTGTCCCGACGAAGGGGAGGAACTGGGGGCGGGGGTCGAGGGGGGGGAGCCACGCCTCGAGAAATCGGCTGTCGGACTCCGAGACGGTGAACAAAACGTCCGCGTCTAGATAGACTGCTTGCTCACGGTCCTTGAGCTTCCTAAAACACTCGGGCCCCTCGTCTTTATGGCACCAAACGGAATCAAGATTCCGGCTCCAATGGACGTCGTCAGTAAGGACCGCAACGCAGCTCCGTGGGTTATATGTCCTCATAAGCGGGGAGTACACCTCCGGGATGGACAGGGCCAGTGAACCTGCGGTCTCGTTCTGCTTGTAAAACCACGCCGTCATGACCGCGGCGTCGAAGTCGTGGGTTTCGAAGTACACAGCTGGCTTCTGAAGGGTCCGAATCTCAGAGCGTGGATCCGTGAGATGCGAGTCCGGTATCAGCTGAACGCCTAGAGATTCTAGCTTTGCCCTGTGCGCTGGCTTGGCGCCCCACCCCCTGTAGAGGTACCATACCTTGTGGCCACTTCCTATTAGCGAGTGCACCACTTGCATTAGCCGCTTCTCCCCCCCTTCGTTGCGAAATGGGACGTGCTCGTGGATCACCAGAATCCTCAACCCGTCTGCTTTTTGGGTTGAGGCCTCCGCTTTTTGGGTCACGCCCGCAGTCAGGTTAACCAGCCCGCCGAACAAATACTTTGAAACCACTGCTAGCTCCTCACTTTCACTGGGCTCTGCTGCAGTCATCAGCCCTAGCGGGTCGTCAGTCAAGCGGACCGCCTGCAGTCCATGCTGGAGTGCTTTGAGCCAGAACGCCCACTCTGCGGCGGACGCTAACCCTGTGTCAAAGTAACCAACCGCCTCGTGCAGACTCTGCCGCCAAACAGGGCTCCGATCTAGCTCAAGACTTAACCCAGCGATTGGCTTCTTCGTCTCATCAAACGAGAAGAAGTCCGACGACTTGATCGCACTTCCTCCTCCCTTCCCAAACTTTGCAAAAGCCACCTGCGCAAGCGGCAGCGACTGCAAGAGCTGCACCTTCTTCTCCAGCATTTGCAGCGTAATCTGCGTGACCTCCCCCCTCACAAACCCAGCAAAGTCCAGCTTGGTTAAGAAAGCCCCCCGGGCGTAGTGCCGTATGGCCAGGTTCCAGGCAGCTGGGTGAGAGGGCTCCCGTGGCAGCAGCACGTATTGCACGCTCCAATTGGGTTTCCCATCCCCAAAGTTGGTCAGCCTTGGGGCGGTTACCACTCCGGCGTGAACAATCACGACTTCCACCCCCTCTAGAAAACCTTTTGCCTTGTTGAAAACGGCTCTTAATGCGTCGAAACCCTTGGAGTACTCTCGTTCGCTGGCGCCAATGACGCTTATGATGATGCTAAGTGCAGGGACGCTGTCTCCCAGGCTGATGAACCCCAGGGAGAGCTTTTGATTTGAATCGGGATTAGTGACAGAGTTTGCGGACCGCCATAAGAATTGGTATGCAAGGAGGACTTGGCAGAGAAGGAAGAGAGCGATGCAGGCGGAGAGAACTAGAGTGGAGAGGGGCCAGGCGCTGCGCCTCGAGCGGCGCATCAACGGGGCCATTGATCGAAACGGCGGGCAATGGCTAGCAGTAGCACTGCGGATTCCGCCTACAGTGAAGTGGTCGCAGACGCCATTACTAACAAGACTTTAACTATGCAAAAGTTGGAGAAAACAAGCTCATGTCCAGCCCCTCCTCCGTCGCCACGAAATGCACCTGAAGGCTGAAGAAGACCTGAGGCTGAGGGCAGTGAGGCTGAGGCTGAAAGTTTAACTGAACGCTGAAGAATGGACCAGGAAGAAAAGATGGTGCAAAAGCTTTAATATGAGAGAAATCTGGAGACGCCAACCACCCGGGGCCTTGCCCGAATCGTCGTGGGTGCTGGAACGGTTTGCCGTTTTCTTGGATTTAAAACCATTAAGGAGAAGTTTCGGTTGCCGGTCCCGAAAGCCGGCGGTCTTTTACCGGGCAGCTATTATATTGAATTCAGCAGGGCTAGGGCAGGGCTGAATTGTCCGCAGTGCGCACCACTTCTTCATGGCCCTGCAGAATGGCTAGCTGGGCCGAGCTGATGGGGGCAGTCACTCAGACTTTTAGAACGGTCATATAATAGCGCCAGGCGGTCTGAAGTTTCACTGCTTCAGCTCCTAGCAATTGGCGCCTTACGCAATAAGCCTAGGATTCATTGTGGCAGGTCAGGACGGCGTTTCGCTTTACGGCCAAGCGGACAGAATGTTTGTTCTGCCGTTCCTCTTTGCAACAACCTGATTTGTGTCTTTCATCCATTTGATAAGAGTGTGCTTTTGCTCCAGTTGCGTGCTGCTCAGGCCATAGGCTGCCTGCGCTGTCCCAACATTAGAAATCAGCAAGCTGGAAAGTCGTCTCAAGACGTGGCAGTAAGCAATCATTCAAGGAACTGGGAATGAGCAATCAAACACTAATCAGCATCTGAACGCCAGCAATCAACAACTAGCAAGTAAGAGTCAAACAGCTACCAGCATCCGCGTATTGGCAATCCTCCATCATGACTCCAGCCTTCTCTAAGAAAGATGATGAGGACTGGGTGGATTGCGTCCCCCGCTGGCTGCGAGCAATGGTCGCGGCAACCGACCGCTCTCCAGAGGAAGTTGCTGAAGACGAAAGCGCGGGGTGGCCGAGGGGCTTTGACAGCATGATCTTCGGGGGGGTCAAGGACATTCAAGCTGAGAAGGGCAGGGTCGTGTGCACTGTGCCAGTCACAAAGCTGATGCTGGTGAGCTGGTAGAAATTGTCGTGTGAAATCTTTGAGCTTTGGTTGTATCAGTTTGCGGTGCGCTACATTCTTACTTGGTGGTGTCTGGGGAGCAGAGGTGACAAGCATGACTTTTTGTTTGGAGGACGCGGAGTGGTAGTTTAGGTAAGGTGGCTGAAGAACACATTTCCACCTCTGTTGAGAAGTTTGACTATGGCACTAGAATGGCATTGAGCAGCTAACAGCTTTCCTTCACTTTTCTTCTTCAAGGTTGAATGACTGTCAAAAGACTCTTATCCTGCAAGCATGGGCAGAAGAGTCCATTGGTCCTTCTGGGGGGCTTCTAAAATAGAAGGGTCGCCTGACCCTTCTATTTTAGAAGCCCCCCAGAATATTTCCTTGGCAGCTCCATAGGTTCAACTACTTCTCATCTTGTTGAGTGAAGAAGCTCGTCAAGAGCACACACCGTCCATCACGAAAACCAAGGGCCAATTGAAGGGGCCTGCTCGCTTGTTTCATCTCTGCCTCACTTGGGAGACAAGTACTGCGCAAATAGGTAGGACCTAGGTCGATCCTGGTTCTGAGTTGAACCCAGATACGACTACCTTTTCTGCAGCGAAACAAGCACAAAGGAAGACAGTAGAGATCCAGCTACTCACTCCTGCAGTGCCTTACTCTCCTAAGCCACCCAGACAAAGAATTGCTGTCTAGTCAACTGCAACGGTTGAAACTCTTGACTTTTAAGCCCGAAAGTCCCCCTAAAGAAATGACGGCTTCTCACACCTAATTCCCTGGGCTCAATCCAGAACCGGTATGGCACGCTGCATGGCGGCTGCATCGCTACAATGGTCGACGTCTTTACAACGGCTGCGCTGTGGACAGTCGGGGGCCCACCTGGAGGCGTCTCTGTCGACCTCAGCATTGCATACATGGCGTCAGCAAGGGCCCAGGTTAGCATACTGCTCTGCTCATTCACTTGCGTTTCTCCAGTGGTGAGCAGGGAAGAGCATTAAGCATAGGGGCTGAAGTATTCGGGTCAAGTGAAGTTAGTCGGTGGCAATTGACGTGGCGTTTACAAGCTGAACAAGTGAGTGATCTGAAGGCGGAAGAAATCGATGATGATCTTCATGCGGATCCGATTAGCTGGCTTGAGTCATGCTTGTCTCGCATAAAGTGGATTTAGATCGGGTCTGCCGCATATGTGGCTAGCCTTCACCACGTACAGACCCACTTCTGAGAGGCCGACTGATCTCGTTTCTCATTACGGATCGACGGAGGCTGCTAAGTGAAGAGGTAAAGATGTACGTTGGCTGCTTCAAGACATTTCGAAGAGGGGTCGGAAAGGTCCAAGACGTTCGTAAACACATGGAGGGGCAGAGAGAATTATTGGGGCGATTATCTCGATTCTGGTCAACATCGGGTCTCTTACTGCAATGAGTTTGTTTCCTTGTCTCTCTGGCCCAATAATCCGTCGCTGGCATCCATTGATGCAGAATGAAAGCTGGGGCGACCACGCTTTGTCGTTGATATTGATTCTAGCAAATTTGCCTTACATTTACGGCTCGTCCTGAGGGCACCAAATTGAAACCGGCTCGATTTCCTGGTTCGAAAGAAGCTGTTCTTGGGAGAGACAGGGATGGTGGTGTCATCTTTTTGGCATCAATCTTATCGAACACCTGAGATTACTTGGTATGGGTTTTCGATTCACGCAGGTCTCGACCGTAACGATCTTTTCCTTCCACTGCAGTAGTCTTCTGTGTGTTTGAAAAGGCTCGAAGCTTGTCTCCGAGGAGCAGGGGAGTCATCTTGGAACCTTTCCAGAATTGCCAGAACTCTTTTGATCATTTCAATTTAGAAGATAGTCCTTCTGCCTGGGCATTTGCCTAACGAACTACTTCACTCTTTGTGCAGGAGGACGTCGAGATTGAGGCCCGCGTTTTGAAAGTTGGGCGAAGCTTGGCCGTTGCGTCCGCCACAGTCCGCCGGAAAAAAGATGGGTTGCTGCTAGCAGAGGGTCGTCACACCAAGTTTGTTGCGTCATCGCCATCATCAAAGTTGTAGTTGGATTGGGCTGTGTACGTTTCGAGCTGTGTTTCCGAGATAAATGGAAGATTTTAAGCTGCCAAATATCAGACCTCTTATATATCCTGTATTTGCCAGCGGCTTGCGCAGGAGATAGCAGCATTCGCATGCGGTCATATGTGGAGTTGAATGTTAACTTAGCCAGTCTTTTATGTAAGAAGGCACAATGGACGTGGGCGCTTTTGTGTGCAGAACATGGCCACTGAGGCTTGAAGCACTGTCTTCAAGAACACACTATATATCAGAGCTCAACCGTGCCCACTACAGTCTGCGCTTGTTGCTCAACAAATGCATGAGGCAGATGCAAGGTGCAACTATCCAACTAAAATACAAAACCTAGGGGATGCCCGCACACCCCTGGGCGAGTCGAGTATCGCCCTGCGGACCAGCGCAAGGCCTTCCGGACGTGCTCGGTGCATCTGTCCCGAGTCCTACTGAAGTTTCATTATAGGACTTTAGTCCGACCGGGACCGCGCTGCCGGGCAGAAATATCAGAGGCCTTGTTTTCAAGTAGGACGAGGACGGCAGACCCGACTACTAAGTAGTAGGTACGCAGAGTTCATGCTGTGCCCAGCTTGGCCCAGCCAATGGTTTCTTTGGCCGCATTGTCTGTGCTCTGCTACTTGGAAGCGCACGTTTCAAATAGGCGCGCACCTTTCATGGTGATAAACTACCTATAGCACAAAAGCAACACGGATACGCTGCGGTTGAACCTGAGGGCATAATAAGGGAACTTGCCTGTCGCGCGATAAGCTATCCAGTTCCTCAAGAAAGGACCCTGGGCAATGCTGCATGCAGGTAGAACGGGCCTGCATTCAGGTTGACAGAGCACCCACACCATGATGCGACTGACATTCCCCTTTGTGGACGGGACACGAGCAGCGACCCTTGCTGCACTTCTCAACACTTCACCCCTCACTCGTCAAGGTTCTGGGATCACATCACTCTTTCGAGAAGCAGTGGCTCAGCAAGCAGCGTCATTCTCAAATCTTGCATATGAGGTGGTGGAAAGCAGCTCAAATGCGAAGGGAGATCAAGGGGCACCTCTCACAGCATTGATCATCCATGGATTGTTCGGTTCGGGGCGGAACTGGAGAACGCCTGCCAGGAAGTTGGCTGAGAGGGCTGATGCTCTGGCCCATGGGACAGGTATGCGAGCACATGAATTCTAGAGTCTACAGTGTAGTGATGGATGAGTGGTAAGACCGAGGACTATGCAAATGTCAATACGCGATAGTATTGAAATGCAGATCCTGGCTGCGACGCTAGTTGCACGAATCTCTTTCACTGGCGATCTGTTGATGACTTCTCGGTATAGTTTCCAGGAAAGGGGTTGCTACAGCACGCCTTGACTGTTGAAACCTTCTGCAAGAGCCGTGTGCCATTGAATCACAGCCTATGTGCAGCTTGTGATGTTGCAGCTTGTATCCGCAATGCCGTCAACTTGCTGCCAGTCAGAAGCGCAACAATCATTTTGAGACCAGGTTTACGTTGTTACAAGAGCTATCCGGATGAGATCTCATCATCATGACATCCTTCCTTTTTAGATGCAAGGTCCTGGCAGATGGTGCTCGTCGACCTGAGGAACCATGGCAAGTCGAATGAGCTAAGCGGTAGGTCTGATCCCACAAGAATCACGTTGAATGTATCCCGTAAATTCAGAACATCATCGATCTAAATGCGGCGTCCACATCCCACGTACTCATGCTGGTCTGAGAAGCATCCCTAGCTGTATTGCTTGACTCAACAGGCTTGAAGATGAGGTGCTTTCCTCTTGTCTGTGAAGACAATGTGCCCATTCGCAACTGATCCGCTGAAGGCACGGAAGGTTATACCGCCAAGCAGACTGAACAGAATGCTCAGATACTCAATTCTTTCGCGCTCACGGCTGCTTGGCGCCACTTACAAACCATATTGTCAAGCTCTTCGCCGGGTGCGAAAGAGCCTGCTCACAGACCTGGTCCCTAAAAGGGCTTTTAATCAATTGAGGCACTCACCAGTCTCCTCTGCTGCGCTTGTCAGCTTTCAACGCAAGCTCTTGATTGACTGCTGAATTGAAAGCCACCTAGCGCAGCTTTTACTTGCCTCTCTAACTTTTCAACGCTTCGTTCGCCCCAGACTTAACACCACCTCACGACATCCAATCTGCTGGCCAAGACCTCGTTCGCCTCTTTGAGGCCGGAACCCTGCCTTGGCCACAGACAGTCATTGGACACTCACTAGGGGGTAAGGTCAGTTGCCTCTCAGTCTCCAAGTAAACGACCGTTTCCATCGTTTCAGTAAGCTTCCCTCGAAAGTCATCAATGGTCGCATCAATTGTGTATGCCAACCAATATATATTTGAAATGACGAGAAGAGCTGTTGTTATTTGAATCACACCTGCAGTCATTCCATACGGGTCGCTTCCCTTCTGATATGTGTGTATTGTTTTGTCTCTTCTAAAGTCACTGTTGCCATACTCCGTCTGATGAGGTTGTACATGCAGTCTTTGCACTGGCTTACTCCCTATTCTACGCATTCATTCTGGAAGGGTCTGAAAAAGAGAAGTTTTGTTATAGGTAGGCGTTCAAAAAGCCTATGGTTCTTGAGGACTTAATATCGAAGTCTGTATAAATACAGAAGGCATCTGAAGTCTTGGGCCGTGATTGCAGGGAGGGGTCAGGCCAGTCTAGCTTCTTCGAAGTACGGATTTTGTCTCATACTGCAGAAATTTGAGCATTAATTAGTGCACAAATGGGAACCCTGACCAACCTCGATGCTCTGAATTCTTTGCCTCTGTTGACCTACTCAGTTCTTGCTGCCAGACTTTTCCCTAAAGTTTGAACTCCCTCTGGATCTCATAGGTGGCCCTCGAGTATGCGAAGGTGACAGCACAGGCTGAGAACGAAGGTGCTCCGAAGCAGGTCAGGAAGGCACTCACACCTTTGATTACATGCTTCAGAGCAGGTTGCACCTCTGTAGCCATTTTGAGGCATACTTTTGGGTTTGTCTTTCAGTCTGGTTGAGACGACTGTTTGTGTAGTCGGTGTAAATGTCCCGCTCAGTTTCCTGACGGCTCTGAAGCACGATTTTTTGATTTTTTGATTTTTTGATTTTTTGATTTTGGGGCCGTTCCCATTTGAGGAACTGCGAATCAAAGGCCAACGGTTGCTTCACGCAGCATCAAGGCACGCGGCCTTCACGCTTAGATATCCAAGCAAAAATCTTAACCCCCAGCCCGCTCGTTTGTAAAGCAAGTGCTGAGACGGTTCGCTTCTCATAGTGGAATGCGAGAGGCTGAGCGAAGTTCATGTGTCATCCCAAACTATGCTATCTGACAACGCTTCGAAACACCGCGAGGATCGCCTCTCTCTGCTCCGGTGTTTCTGCATCAAGCCTCCATTCGGTAGAGTACTCTGTTTCCCCTTTCTATCTCCTGTTGAGTACGTAATTTCCTGCGGTATACTCGCCTCCTATCAACGTACGGATATATACAGGGTGTTCATAACGCATTCGTAGGGCGATCTGAACATTCTGCTCACTCTCAGGTTTGGGTGCTCGATTCCGTTCCGGGCGCCGTTCCGTCAGATGACGCCAAGGGTGACGTCGAGCGGGTCCTGGATGAGCTGCACTCTCTGCCGGAGGTTATCCCGTCGAGAAAGTGAGCACGAGCCAATACTTCGTTATCCCACTTTACCGAAGGACTTAGCTTCTCCCACAGTTTCGCACCTCAGAGCTTCGAACTTTTTGAAAGCTCAAGGGGTGATGAAAGTTGACTCGGCCTTTCTTTGCCGGCACAGCAGCTGCTGTGAGGACTGAAAGGATGCGCTTTCCCCTGGTATTTTCATGCGTCGCTTCCACGGATCGCCGTTTCGGTACTTCGAAAACCTCGGCCACATGATCTTTTTTCACAGAGCTGGCATGTGAAGCCAAGCTTTTCGGTCATAATGGACACGCAGCGATTGAGATGGTGTATGACTCGTTGCTGACATGTGCGTGTTTGAAGTCACGTCGTTGGACAGACGTTCGCAAGACATCCAAGGTCGCCTTCAGCTGCTAAACTGCTTTGCCGGTTGATCACCGTGATCTTGACCGGGTGATTTTGATCGGGCGATCTTGACGAGCACGCCAGCAGAGAATTCCTATCGAACACTCGTTATTGCTTTCACCTCGACGCCGACCCCGATGCCTTCTGACGCAGATGGCTAGTAGAGCGGATGAAAGACCGGGGCTTCTCCCCGGGCCTGTCGGAGTGGATGGGCAGCAACCTGAAGCGGCTGCCCGGGAGGGGGGACGAGTCGGAGCTGGTTTTCAACCCGGCTGGTGCGCAGGAGATGTACGACTCGTACAGGTGGGCGAGATCGAAATCGAGAAAGAAAAGATAAGCTAAACCAATGACAAGGTATTCGTACAGAGATGGAATGTTTAGGCTGGGGGTGTAGGGTGGGTACGGGTGCGGAGCAGGTGAACGTCGGTAGGGGTTTAGTGTTCGTCGGGCCTTATCACTGTCTCGGCTTGTTCTTATCTTTCTTGGCTTTCACGTAGGCGAGGACGTCTGGACGTGTGATGTCGAGAAAGGATGTGACAAACCGGTTTCTAATCGAAAGGATTCTGATGATAGGAAAAATAGTGACTGCCGCTATGAGAGTCTTTTACGATACTGTATAACTCGCTATATCTTCAGAAGCAAACTACTCGAGATTCGAGTCTCCCGGGTACTTCGAATCAAAACCCTTAACCTAACGATTCACGCTCTCTGCACCCAAACCTACCCTAACCACCACCCTAGCCCTACCCGTTTCCCAGGCGCTTATTTGGTGTGCAATCCTCTCAAATCAAATTAAAATTACCAGAGTTCTTTTCACCCGGTTCATGTATCTGCGGCCGGGCGGAGCCGACGGTTTGGTAATACTGACTGTTTGTAGATTTACAAGGAGGGTAGCATGGCGACACTTCTCACAATTTTTTCTTACGAAAAAACAAATTGGATCAAGTGCCAGAAAATAAACCGTTTTGGCGACCTCGTGGATGTTGACACGGAACTTTGGTTTGTAAAGAGGCTTCAAGGCCGGCTGTGCTGGTTTTCAACCTGGAACCAGAGGAGGCTTTCCGTTAGATTGTTTTCATCAGATCCGCTCTTTTCCCCACGACCAGAGCTTCTTGAGTCACGCTGATAAAAAGAAGTGCCGTCAGATCTTGCTGACGATAAAAAACACAAGGCTGCCTCGGCACCGTTCCTCAGAAAATTTGCCAATTTCACAGCATCATAAGGACGGAGAGGAGGAATGAAACAGAGAGGGCAAAATGACGATGCACCTGCACAGACTACCTGCAAAACGTCAGGTCGCAGCGCACGGAACTTCGTTGCCGCCCTCTCGAGTGTACACATTACTCCATGAACCTCGTAATTGATACGAGGCTTTTGGTTTGACATTCCTCACTGAGAATCAGAGTCTCGAGTACCAGCAACCTCAAGTCTCGGGCTCAAATTTCTTGGGCTCTTTCTGGTGCAGGGACGCGACGTATATTCCCTTTCTACGAGACCTGCCGGAAGGTAAGTACGTCAACGCTTGACTCGAGCATACTCAAAACATGAGCAGCGGTTTCACGGATGAAAGCTCAGGCGAAAGGGGCATCTGCCAGATTGGTTTTGTGAAATATCAACGACAACAGCTTAGGTAAACGGAGCATCTGCCGGATTGACGTTGTGGAGCATCAACGGATGTGCTCCGATGCTGCAAAATTGGAGGAGCTAGATGGTTGGACAATGTGGGATCACCGTACGTCGCTTTGTGGTCGCATGCTCGCATACCCGGGCTTCGATACTTTTGTTGTGAACGCTCAGCTTGAAATCGCGTTTTTCAACCACGCGACTCAGTGTGATTCTGGTGCGGATCTGAGTTGGGAGTCCCGTGCCACAAACGAGAGCAGCTCATGTAAATCCTCATGCTAAGTAGGCTCCCTTGCAATCCTACCATGAATTCTCGGGGGACAAATCCAACATAGACACTCCGTTCGTTGACACACCAGGGTCATCATTCTCGGCGGGGTTTGATGCAAGGCAAATTTCTGACCGTGCAGGCATGAATGTCGACATCGTTCAAGCAGCCAAGAGCGACCGGTGGACGCCTGAAATCCTCTCGGAGTTAGAAGCGATAGTGAAGGAATCAAAAGGAAAGCGAAAAGGAGACGGCAAGCTGAGAATGCATGTACTGCCAAACGCAGGGCATTGGGTACATATGGATAATCCGAAGGGGCTGGTTGACTTGCTCGCCCCGTCGCTCCGCGAGTTGGCGCAGATAGGACCAGGGGGTTGACGCAAGCAACTAACTAACCGGGACTCAATCGGTGCGGCCATTTTCGCGAACTAGTCGTTCACCAAGGACTAATCATCAGGATTGCCTATCTCCTCGCAGCTGATGGTATGCTTTGACCCCCTGTCACAGTATTAAATCAATGGGATTCCCTCTTTTGATCGAAAGGCCGTTGCAGGAGCCTATTTTTCCAGCAGCCTTCTTTGCCACTCAACCGGCGTGTGTTGAACACGCGACAGATACGTGACACTGTGTGTTACTGCTTTCAAACGCTAAGTACTTTGGAATTGAGGAAGCCGGAGCATCCTGGTTTTGACAAATGAAAGACTGCCAAACCCAACTGACAAGTTGAGCCTGAGATCGAGATATATTGCCTGCATGCAGTCAGCATGCATGCGCAAGCCAAATGTTGGACCGGATTAGTACATAAGTAGCATGAATATGGCAATAAGTGTCGAATGCAGAGCCGTTTGAATCTTATCGATCGATCTCACATGTGTAAGTTCCGACACTCTCGACATGTCGGAATCGAAATGTCCACGAGGCGGCCCTGTTTGCGCGCACTAGTGCAACATGCATGGTGCGGTCCCCGGTACGTAAGCTAGGAACGTACTGTGTAGTCGGACACTCATATGGTTGTAAATTAGGGTCCGGATCCGGATGCAACGCTTTCAATTATATACTACAGCTACACTGCATGCGGACTGCCTACATCATTGCACTGCACGGTGATTAGGCGTGCATGATTATGATGCTGATTGAACGCGTAATTACATTGCTTCTATAGACTGTATAAGTACCCGGTTCATTATAAGCTTCATGCAACTGTACGCTCAATCGCAGAGAAATGCTAGTAAGTGCGGCAACTGCACCCAATGATACCTTCGAGCGTTACATGATTCAAATTGTCCGGAAATCTCCAAACAAGCGTGCACGATGCCCCAGGGCCTCCCGAATGAAGAACGCGGCAGCCAAGCCGGCCAACACGCCAAGTAAACCATTTGTTCGGCCTAACCTTACCGTACTTTTCAGACAGCAGCGTAAGTAAGCGTAGCAAACATTAAGTTTTATTCCGCCATTCGCTTTTAACCGCAGATTTTCACCTCAGGAGATCAGCTCGGTGGACATGCCGCTGCATGTCGTTGCATTCGAGCTCTTATGCAGTCCGCATGCTCTCCCGAACAATGTCCATAAACGTCCGCTTCTCTGCATTTGCCTTCTGGACGCCTCCCTTTCTACTCGAACTATCCAACAGCTCAGGCTTACGCTCTTCACTGAGAATCCTTACTTCCTCGTCGTTACGAATCTCAATAACTTCGGGCTGCGCGTCATAGCAGCCTGAAGACATGCCGACGTCCACTCGGATAACCCGATTGTTACAGGCGCCGGTCACGCCAAGCGGGAACTGTATGGTGTGCCCTACAACCTGCAAAATTATGCACAAAAAACGTCATTCTCAAACGAAACCAAAGGCTGCGATTCACAGGAGAGCGCGAAGGCCTCCTACACCGCTGCGTTTCGAGAAAGCTTGCCTCCACAATGCTCCGCCTCGGCTTTGAGAACCTCAAGAATCCACTAACCGAAAGGCTCGTGCAGGCATCCCTGTCTCAGAGTCTCATAGTTGGTTTCAACCGTAGATCTCAACGGACATCGATCCACAACCTGATTTCTGTTCGGTAAAGCGACAAAAAACTTGGAACAAGTCCTCAAAGGGCATGCGAGGAAGCGACTGGAGCAAGATACGAAGAAGCTCCGTTGCAGGGACGTACCATTCGCTCGGCTCCGGGAATCTTCCCGAGCACCTCCTGTAGCAGGCGGCAATCCGGTTCTACTTTGGGCAGCGAAAACTCGCGCAGCCACACGACGGCGTTGCGACCCCGGGTGAAGGCGGGGCCCTGGGGGCCGCTCTTGCCCTGGATCCACTCCGACGTCTCCTTATCTGCGACACACGGGTCAAGGAAACGGGTTAACAAAGTGGGCAGTCACTATTATCTACAAACGTGAGTCAAGAAAAACGGGTTAGCAAAGTCAGCGGTAAACGCTTGAATGCCCGTTGTGCGCTTCCCGTTCTGGGGTTTTTACGATGCGCAAATCGAACTTGGCTGGAGCGGGCTCAACGATAGATCCTGCCAGCCAGAGCTGACAGCCAGCTCGCTAATTCAGCGTTCGCCTGTTTAAAGGTTTGAAATCCGAAATAAGAAGAACGTTTTGGAAAAGATTGAGGAATCAACCAACCAAATGCACGGACAGCGATGGTTGAAGCCAGGTTAAAATAACCCCAAGTAATCTGCGGGCTACTGGATTGTGACGACAGAAGATGCTGCTTAAGATTGAACTTTGCTTTACGGCCCGATCTTGCGACAAAAGTTTCGCAAGTCCAACTAAGCTGTTTCAAACTTAAGAGAAAAGAAGAGAAGCTGGTAGTAGACTTTGAAGCATGAAGTCTCTTGCGAAGCTTTTCCACGACACTCTGCTGTTAATTCTTTTCACGTGCTTCGAGAGACGAAGCATCGGTTTATAAGTAGGTTTCTATAAACCAACCGAGTGCCTACTTCACGCCTGGAGTGCGAGATTGACATGACCACGCACAAGATACTCGAGTTCTGCAGAATTCCGCACCAATTTAAGACCTCAAAACCGCTTGAGATTGCTCACTTATTCGATCAAGGCCGTAGTCGACGTGCCCCGGCAGAAGCCCCCCGTGCACAAACACCGTACTCCCGACCTGCAGCACGGTCGGGTTCGTCCCGAAGAAACGAGTGGAGGCGGGACCCCCCGGCCGCAAGGCCGCGTAGCGGCTTTTGAAATGGGGGGGTACGTGGGGAGGGAACTGCACAAACAAATGAAACTCTCATAGGTTGATGTTCACAGAATCCAGGACGGCCCCTTGACAAGCAATCAAATGAGCGGTTCTGCTTCTACGGTGTGACCGGACTGAACCCGTTCGCCAGCGACCGGTCACAGATGATTGCCCGCCATTCAGTCGCCTCGAGAGTGGCTCCAGCTCGAGAAGCGGGGTCTCGAATCGGCTTTAGCTTCCAGTACACTACTGAGGGGGACGGTTCTCTCCTTCCTTTTATGTGAGCGAACATACCACTGATTCCCGTACAGACTCAACGACCACTCACAGCAGTGGGACGCTCAGCAGAATCTGAAAACCAAAGGAGAAGTCCACTCCAGTTAGTAACTCATCCCGGAGAAGCGGCCAGCGTGCACTCACGATTGGGGAAGAGTCGTTCCGCTCTACAAGAGCCCCTCGACACTTCTTCTTTAGTTTCTTGCCTACCTCGTGCCACGCCATCCATCTGCGAAAAGAATAGAATCCGATTAAGAGTCTGGTTACGAGCCTGGTTGCGACATAAAAGCACAAAGTCAGAGGTGGCGGGCTGACGGCTGATTGGGGCTCGACTATGGTAAACGCAAAAGCTGCTCAAACCCCAACCAAAGTGAAAATCTACGGCCCATTGGTCCCTCTCTGAAAGCGCTTGACATCCGGTTGAGCCAACTTCGAGCGAGTCGCTTGGCTAAACGCCGCTGCAAGAGGTTGGCCATTCTACTTTTTAGGATCACAACTCGCATCTTTCTTCGATGGGAGGATTACAATTTGAAATACCTGCTAGCTGGGCAAAATGAAGGGGAAATGAAGCATGGACCGAAAGAGCAGGGAAATCTCCAGTTTCATACCGAGGAGCTCCATCTACGCGTCTCACTGCTTGCTGCCTCCTCCCCTCTCACACGAACAAGACGGTTGCGTCAGCACAAACTCATACAACACACGCCTGTAGGAGGAGATCTGGTTGGTCGCAAGGAGGCTGATCTACAGGCAGAGGCGCTCTCTGAAAGCAGAACTGTGTCTATTGAGATGCACAAGCAAAGTACGACCCTCACCGATCGAACTGTGACTTGGACCCTGGCGTTGCGTATGTGAAACGCCCCTCGACATTGATCGTTTCGTGGTTTCCGTTTAACACGTGGACGTCGCCCCCCGCTTTCCGCGCCTGGTGTTGCAACCGCTCCAACATATGGAAGATCTGGAGCTCTTGGTCCCCCCGGTCGAGAACGTCCCCTACCTGCGAAATCATCTTCAATTGTCAGCCGGAGATTTGGCAGTAGAGTACTTGACACTGGTATGTGAGACGAATCAGAATTTGGATCCGATAAATACGAAGGACAACATGTGGTCGCGTTCGCGATACTTGGCGAGAGTCAGCTTGTCATAAAAACAAGCTGACTCTCTCAAAGCGATTTTCGAAATGGAAAAAAACCATCTTTCTTTTGGTTGAGGCTAAACCAACTCTCCAATTGGCTGGTTGATAGATTCCACTCCAACAGCTTTTCCTTTTCTTGACAAAAGCAAGTGTACGCATCGTCACCGAACCCGCCAGGCGACAGAATAGACCAGTGAAAAAGACCCCAACGCAGATGAGACTATCCCTCTTCTCAAAGAGCGCTTTGCAGAGATCAGTCAACAACATCAGACTCTTACTACAAAATGAAAGCTGTGGAGGCCAGAAACTGCTGACCTGAACTACCACCGTCTTGCCTCCGATCCAGCGGTCCTTCTCGTCGACCACCCCCGCCAAACGGAACGCCCGGCGCGCCTTTCGCAGGTCGCCGTGAAGGTCACCGATCGCAACCAGACGCTCCGGAGCTGGCAACCTGCGGACAATAGAGTCTGTCGCTCAAAAGCTTCTCGATTGTTTTCATATAAGATCTTTTACGATCCAGAATAAGAAGAATATGAAAGGAATGATTGTTTTCATATGAGATTTTTTGCGATTCCAGAGTAAGAAGAATATGAAAGGAATACGCCGGGCTTAGCGATAAGAAGAGCTGATTGATTGCCTCGTCCTCCCACCATGTAGACAACTAGGTGCGACGGAATTAAGAGAGGGGCTTTGTTTCCAATGGTGGTTTGTTGTAAGAAAGGAGTACAGGGCAACTTTATGGCCTGAGTCATGTGTCTAGATGAGCATTAGTCAGCCTCAACTCTATCATTGAAAGCTTGCATGCCAGCAGATTTTGCGAATTGCTTCACATTTTTAATTTGGTCATGATCAATCTTCTTCTCAGATGTCCACTTTGCATGCAGAAAAGCGTGTAGCTCAAAAAATTTCATCGCTGATGACTTGATTGGAACTCTTCACTTGTCCAAGACTTCAACTCCAAAGTTGCAAGGCCAGTCTGAAACAGTGTTTGTCGCAGCAGAATATACAGCGCCAGGGATAGAAACAACCAAAAAGCGAACACGCCTGTCATGAAATTGCTCAACTTTGCCAGGGCTTGCTGATCTTTAAAGAGGTCACTCACTTGGAAGCAGGAAGCCCCCTCAAGTTGCGCTTTCCGACAGAGCCCATCGCTGAGGCATCGACGAAGGCATCAACGAATGAGGACCAGATGGTTGGTACCGCTTCACACTTGATACCCCCCGGGTCAGTATGGTCGATGGCGCAGCCCGCCATGTTCAGAGAATCTGCGCCGAAGCAGTCCTGATTCTGAATGAATCACAAATCTCTTTCTAGTCTTTACTTAAATTTCTGGTGCACCTAACCAAACTTTATAGATGCTTGGAAGAAAGGCACTTGACCACCCCCCAGTGCACAAATGATCAAATGCAATTCGGGAATCCTATACAATGCCCCTTCTTTAGTGATCTGTTTCAAGTGAAAATGAAAATAATGAACTCGATTGCACCCCCCTTTTTAAAATGACAACTACCCATCACGCCAGCAGCTCGAGAAGGCGCCGACGGACTCTGACCATCCCGAATGGTTCTTGATGTTCAATGCAATTAATCAAACAACTGCTATTGAAGCCAGGGAGCCTTCCTGCATTTGCATACCACGAGAGCTGGTCGAGGAGTTTGAATCGTGGTTTAGCTTCTGAGCTGGAGTTCATCTTTGTTGAGGCCAGGCTCAGAAGGTAGCAGCTGCATAGTATAATTTACTCAGGCGCCATGGCGTGGCGACGGATCCGATCTTCCGCAGTGCAAACGGCATGGGGTCGCGACTAGACTCGCGACCGTCACCCGGAAATTCCGCGCGCCATCCGTCACTGCCCAAATAAGGTAACGCACCGTTACCATTGTCCTCGGTGGAACGGCCTATGAATAGGCGGGTCGTGGTCAATCCAAACCCGATTTTGGTAATACATCAATACCGTATATGTCAACTTTCTGCCATAGCCTGCGTTGAGCTGGTTAATAACAGTTCATCTTAAGGTGGTAGGACGGTAATTCAGCCAGAAAAGAGGGTGTCTAGGGTTTGAAGGGGCGTAACTTGGTCATAACGTGGTCAAATCGAGTCCCGTCTTTTGCATCTTTCGGGGGGGACCAAGGAGGCCCCCTCGAGCACTCTGGGACCACCTCGAACTCACTGACGACTTGTCGAGGAAAGTCTGAAGTTGAGGAAGTTTGAACATTTACCCCCCTACATGAACCCTTGGCCGTCAGAAAAACGAAATGATAGAATTCTCATTGACCCCCCTAAAACTGAATCGGGGCAAGCTGGGATGTCTATCGAACGGTTAAATCACAATTATTGACGAAAATGTGCACCGTTAATGGTCAAAACTCCCAGCTTATATGCTCAAAATGGTTTTTTCTCAGGTTGTTGACCAGGTATGTTCCCCTGGCGGTGCACATTTCCGTCAGATTTTTTTTGGAAAAATGTTTTTGACATACCAGCTTGCCCCGAAGGAAATTTATCGTGGCAGTTGACAGGCAGAAAATCCAATGGAAATACCCCTTTGAACCAGGTTGTTTGGAGTTGGCAGGGTTTCTCAGACTGACCCAAACTACTTCGAGGTGGTTAGAGGAGCTTCGAGAGGACCCCGAGGGTGTCTCGAAGCCATTGGAGAAGACGAAACCTGATTTGGTTTAGTTTTGAACATTCTATGAACCAGAACGTAAACCAGGGTCAATCCAACCTGAATTACCGTCCTACCACCTTAACCAGCTAATCTCGGATCCCGGGGCGATGATCCGGGCAAGAGAAACCAGCTTGGTAACGAACTTTGCTAACGCAAATATCTGCCGGGAACGAACTCCGGGGCGGCCAATCAGAAGGGCCACTTTTTGGCGCGGGCGACTGCAATGGAGCCAGTTCACACTACCTTCATGAGGCAGTTCAACCGTTGGTGTGAACGAGTCTCAATCGGATCAAACTTGAACGCGAAACTGACTAGGACAGTTCGGGATCTCCCCCTTCCTCCTTGCTTCCTGTCCGAATTTAGGGCCCCCATTTTGATCCTCAGCTCCTACTACACCCCAGGTTTGAAACGCACGGGGCGCCCGCTCATCTTTCTCTCTATGTGAGACAACTTCTGTGCCAGCTGCAGAGAATTGTGCTCATATGTGCCCTCGCTGCAACGCCTTGGCGTGTTATGATGTTGCTTACAAACATTGGTGCATTGCTCTGTGAGATTGGCTCCTGCTGTAGTATGCAAGTCAGGCCTGTTTAAGTGAAGCAAAATGTGCTCCAGCAGCGAACCGCATTACCACACGTGTTGTGATGATCATGAGGATCATGCTGCAGAGTGCAGAAGCATGTCCTGCTACTGTTACCCTGGGCCAAACCCGCCGAGGTACAGGAACGGAGATAGGAGTAATGGCCACAACAATGGGTGGCACGACGACGGCAGGACTAAGAAGAAGAAGAAGCTGGGGGGCATCTGGGATGAGAGCGAGACGAAGGAGCGGGAGAAGCTCAAGGAGTTCTGGCTGGGGCTGGGCGACAGTCAGCGGCAGTCGCTGCTTAGGATTGAGAAGGAGTCCATCCTGCGGGAGATGAGGGAGCAGCAGCGACACATATGTTCCTGCAGCGTGTGTGGCAGGAGAAGGACCGTTTTGGAGGAGGAGCTGGAGCTGCTGTACGATGCTTACTACTCGGAATTGGAGGATCGAGGGGACTCTGGGGAGATCGATATTGAGATGATTGACTATCAGTCTGACGAGGTTGATCTGTCCTTGAGTCTGAAAGGTAAATCATTCACCAGCTCGAGAGCAATCCCCCAATTGCAGTTTGTAGCTGTCTTCGCAACGAGAGAAGCTGAGGGCTGACAGTTTGGCCAATTGTGAGGAAGACTGGCTGCCGATCAAGCTAAGGATGGATCAGTCTTTTTCATCCTTTTGCAGTATGCAATTGTGAGATTTCTCTACAGAATTGCTTGATCTTTGAATTCTGTGGTCTGCGCTGCTGAATTGTGGCAATCCCTTTGCAACTGCTGTAGTATGGACCATTATCATCAGAAAAGGAGGCCAGATAGTCTGAGCACTTGATCTCATTCCGACCAAAGCAAAATTTCGCCCGTGGCCCGTGATGTTGGTTGCAGAGGACGATCTTTTCAAAGTCCAGGTGACTGATCTTGTTCGAGAAAGTGTGTCCCAGTTTGGATTTTTGCGCTTCCCAAGTCTGCGGTTTTCTACTAAAATCAAGCCTTTTCTGCAAGTTCTGACTATTGACGGGTCACCCTGACAATTCCACTCTTCAACCTGCAGCTGTGGAGGGAGGCGTCCTTACAGTGGCCGATGATCTCCTCATGGATGATGGCCGCAAGTTCTTTTCCCTCATGGAGAAGCTCGCAGACGGCCGTGCGCAGAATGGGTATGAGCCGATGCCCGACCAGTACGGTTATGGGGAACAGGAAGGGGAGTACGATGATGAGAACTACCAGGAAGAGGACGAGGAGTTGCTGGAGGAGCAGAGAATCGAGGAGGGGCGCCGAATGTTTCAGATGTTCGCGGCTAAGATGTTTGAGCAGCGCGTGCTTGCGGCCTACAGAGAGAAAGTGGCGCTTGAGAAGCAAGAGCAGCTGATGCAGGAGGAGGAAGAGGAGGAGAAGCTGCAGGCGGAGAGAAGGGAGAACAAGGCTCGGAAAGAGAGGTGAGGGGTTTGCTCTCTCATTGTAAAATTAACAACTTGGTGCTGTCTTGTTGGGGCAATTGCCGGGCAGGAGAGTTTTGTCAAGGACTTGTTGGACTCTGTTCCCTTAACCAGGTCATAATCTGATTCAACCGGAAAGGCAAGTTGACCCTTGAGCTTTCGTGGGAGGCCGAGTGCTTGATGGAGGATGTTCCCCCTTTTAGAACACTGCTGATCTTGCTAATTGCGTGCTTGGTGTCCAACACCATGAGAAATATCCTGCATGCCAATTTAGATTAAGTCTGCAGGAAACCCTAATGAGCAGGTTGCTGATCTGTGTGCACGGTGGACTGCTAATTTTAGAGCAATCCCCTTGTTGTCAGTTTGCAATTTCTACCTGACAACCCGGGGAATTTATGCATTTGATCGTAGATTCAAGGCAGCTGCAGTTTCGATCACAACCCGGTTCTTGCAGTCTGGTTTGAGTTGACCTTACAAACTGAAATGCAAAGGGTTTCTACAGGGAGCGGAAGCAGAAGAAGAAGGAGCTGAAGAAGCAGCTGGATCTCGAGAAGGAGCGGAAGAGGGTTGAGAAGGAGCAAGAGGAGCAGGCCCTGCGAGAGAAGGAGCAACGAGAGAGGGAGGAGAAGCGGAAGGAGAAGCAGCGCCAGAAAGAGGAGGAGAAGAAAAAGAAAGAGGAGGAGGGGCGACGCAAGAGCCTAGAGTTGAAGGAGAAGGAGAGGGCCAGGGCAGTGAAGGAAGCAAAGGAGGCAGCGGAGAAGTTGAGAGGGGCAGCAGATGAGGGGAAGACGCAGGCGGCTGAGAAGGGGGAAAGTGTAGTGCTACTGGCGAAGGAGGCGGAGCCTAAGCAGAGCAAGAGCAGTAAGAAGAAGGCAAAGAAGGAGAAAGCGGCGATGGAGAGCAGTGTGGCAGAGGTGCCGAGAGCGGCTGTGGACGATAGGGAGACGGCAGAAGGGTGGGAAGTGGCCCACGGGAAGCACAAGAAGAAGCCGTCAGCCGCACAAGAGCCAGTGAAGGAGGGGGTCGAGCCTCAGGCGAAGAAAGCGGCTGATGAAAGTTTGGTGAGGTTCAGGCGAAGGTTGTTGGATTCTCGATTGACCTGTCGAGCATGCACGAGGCTGTCATGGTGTTGGTCACATTGAGTAAGCGCTGGCGGAGGGAATCATAGTGTGACAGTCGCAGTGTGGCTCCAAGTGGGAGTTGAACAGAGAGGGATTGCTATTGAAAAGCTTAGAAAGGAAGCGAGCCGCTCTAGGCGTGTTTCTCGCCTCATCTGGCGTCAGCTTTGAGCCATTGCAGACCTGAGGAATTGATATGAAGGGGGCATTGCTTCTCTAAGGATTGGGACATCTTTGGCAGTTAGATTGAACTTGGTTCAAATCTGCTGCACCTACCTTCAGTGATTGAGCTTCTTTGAGGTGTTGATCTGGGTTTTTAGATCTGTGGCCCTCCTAAGGCTGACCGAGTTTGTCGAGCTCTTTGCGGCAAACAGCGGTCTCATTCTGCGCAACAATCTTCTATTGCCAAAGATCCTCCTGACGGCTGCAAAAAGCACCCTACCGAGATTTTCACCTGATTATGGCTTCTCGTTTTGCAGGCGGCCCTCCGATCCACTAGCGCAGCGCGACACTACGAGCAGAACGGCACGCACCATCCGCCCTCATCAACCGCACCCCCTGGATTTCAGCAGCCCCATAAATCTTCCCCCGTCAAGGGATCCCCTGTCACCCAAGCCAGCCCATCCCCCCTTCCTGTCAAAACCGTCCCCCAAGCTGCACCGACTCAAAGGGTTGCCAGCTTCGATCCATCGACCAGCATTCGGGTTGTTGTCGCCAACCCCTCATACCGGAGTGGGGAAGAGCCGCAGCGTCAAAACGGGGGGATCCCCCCAGGTTGGGCAAAGCCAGGTCACGGGAACGGTGCGAACGGGCCCTGGAACGCGCAGGTGGCGAGGACGAAGCCGGAGCTCACGTCAGCGCACCCGCAGTTTGTCACCCCGCAAGCTAACCACACCCTGGCCCACCCCTCAATGAACCCTGCCGCTGGCCCCCCCTTTGCGCAGGACGTTCCCGGGGTGCGAGTTCGCGAGTCTTTGGTCATCGATGTCGACCAGGAGCTAAGCTCGTCCATGGAGCACTTGCTTCCAGGGGGGCTGCTTTCGGCAACCGGGGACACCCCCCGGGGCCTGAACGTGTCTGGGTTTGAGGACGAGTTTGGCCGGTTGCAGCTGCTCGAAGGTCGGCTCCCTGTGCCTGGCATCGTCGCCGCCCGAGATCCTTTTGGGGGGCCGGTCGGACCCCCCCGGCAAGAGACAGAGCCCCCCTTCCACGACGCCAACGGACACTTTCGTCAGGCCAGCGGGTCGGCGAGTCCGGAGAGCCTCGGCAGCCCGGACTCGACGTGGAGTTTTGGGCGGCGCCCCGGGTCCGGGTCCAACTCGTCCGGGAAGCTCTCGCGGCCCCCGTCGGCGGACGTTGGGCGGCCATGGTTGTACGCAAACGGGGGAGAGGAGCACTTGCGGTTTGACGGCGACGGGTTCGGCCGGGCGTCGCGGCCACAGTCCGGGAATCGAATGCTGGGTCCCATCGGAAAGGCGGCACGGCAGGATATTCGGGTGAGTTGGGACGGGTCTCAAGGCATGCTGGGGGAGCCCCCCCTGTTCGAGATGGTGCGGAGTGCCTCCCACTCAGCCCTCCCTGCACCTGCCGGGTCCTCTCCTCCAGGGGGTTTCCTCGGCAGGCCGAACCAGCACCCCCCAGCGTTCCAGCCGCGCTGGGAGCAACCCCCTCCGGCCGTGCTGAAGCCCTCTTGGCCGCCTGGCAAGGCGCATGGGCCGTTTGAGGCGCGGCTCGAGGCGGCGATCCTGGTGCTGAGGTCAGCGGTCGCACGGCAGGACGCTTCGGGGCTGCTGGCGCAGCCCCTGAGCCTGAGCGCGTTCTGGCAGTCGCTGCTGGCAATCGACGGGAGCTTGCTGAACGAGGGGATCACCCGCGCACACATCCTGGCGATCTGGGTAGAGCTCGCGAAGCAGCAGATCGTGCGCGTCGGGCACGCCGACGCCACCCGCCCGAACGAGCCGTTCATTCTGGCGATGCTGCCGCCCCCCTTGCCGGAGCGGAACGGGAACAAGCTCGGGGTGTGTCTGCTGTGCAACGAGGCGCTTGCGTCGGTGCAGCTGCGGCCGTGCTTGCACCTCACGTGCGTCGGCTGCACGAGCCAGCTGGCCGCGCAGGCGGACTTCGGCGAGCTCTGCTGTCCATTCTGCGCGGCCGTCGTGCAGAGCAGCGCGACGCTCGGGCCCGACGGGCACTTTCTCCCGTCGGAGCATCCTCACCCGGAGGGGGGGAGGAGAGACGAGCATTCGCACCCCCTCATGCGGAGAGCAGAGCCCGAGCACCCGTCCATTCGGAGAACAGAGCCCGAGCACACACCCCCGAGGCATAAGGCGCACCAGATGAAGGAGAGTCGGCCGAGCCCAGCCCCCGGAAGCGGAGCGGATGCGCGGCGGGTATCAACGCCAATCGACCAGGAGTGGCCGACGCTGGAAGCCGCCGTCTCGGCAGGGGCGTCCCGGAAGGTCGAAGCTAGGCCTCTTTCTGCGGGGGCCACGAAGCCGGTTGCGAAGGAGGGCAACGGGGCGAACAGTAGACCGCCGTCGAGCAATGGCTCGGCGGGCGGGGAGGTGTTGAGAAAGGCTGGATGGGGAAGCGTTCCGAAGGCCGGTGCTAGCCCCCTGCCGGAGACGAATGCAGCGGCAAATGGGAACAGCAAGGCGCTGCCGCACGAGAGCTCCGCATGGCCGCCCTTGCATGTGGCAACGAAGGGTCGAGGAAAGGGCAGCGGAGAACGGTGACGTCCGGAGTCTAGGTCCGATGAAGTGTTTGGAGCGTAGATCAGGAATAAGCATGCTATCAACCAAGGTAGTCTGTAATTATTGGCCCCTTATGTCCCCTGCTTTGTCTTGACAACAATTGGCCAGAGTAATACTTAGCTCAAGTGAAGGCATGGCTGGGTCGGCTGTACATACGATCCTACAAAAGTGGTCAAAGACTTTCAATGCGATAGGTTTGAGAGTTCTGTTTCTTGAGCATATTCAGCGCGGGGCTTAAAATGGCCGCTGCCAGGCACGCCTTTCGTAATGCAGCTATCAGCCTGTGCTGTAGACAACGATATGCGTATTAGCTATCCCACCGCGCCTTGTTTTGATACTAGAGATCGCGGAAACCATGGGAAAGGGAATTTGCCACGCCCGTATCATGATTGAAGTGCTTGCGCAAAGATGTGGCAAAAGTACTTCTACGCAGTAACGCGCATATATAACATGGATTCACTAACGGCTGGGCTGCGTTGGACCGTCTGCAAACACTAGAGCTTAGATCCTTTAATTGTCTATATCCGGCGTGTACGTGTCATATATATATCTTCGAATGAGCTTTATGCCAGCGTATATTCAGCTGCTCATTCAATTCCATATGCAGATCATGATCCATGCATGCTGCATGCAACTTTTTTACATATGCGCGGAATTGAAAGCTAGCTAGGCCGCCCGGTACCATGACTGCGATCGTGCATATATGCACATGGTTGCAGGCAAAGTTATACATGGAACATTAGTGAGTCGGTTTTAATGATCTGCGCGTCAGCTGTGGGATATTACACCGTCATGCAATAGCATCCAGGTAAAGTTAGCTATCCCGGCCAGAGTCCGCAGCTGGGTATTGGGACTCAAAAAGGGCGGCTGCTGTGAAGTCCCGTCGGATCATCGATCACAGAGGGATTATCCTAGTGCAACAACCGTGGGAGTTAATACAATCGTGCATCAGCGTACTGAGGTTGCTGGCCCTACTGATGCATCGATCGGCATGGCAAGCATTGCTTGTAAATATTAGAGAAGCACCGTTTGGCTTTCAGATTCAAGTAGCTAGGCAAAGAATGGATCCAGCCAAGAATGCAGTACACTACGGACAAATGCCATGCTGTTGGCTACCTCACGTCTATACAGAAGCAACTGTTTAATTTTAGCATAATGACGTCTACCTAAGTCCTGCTCCTCCCGACGGTAAGCCCGAGTCCGAAGAAACCCGGCCTTGCTGACAATGCGCCCCAATCCACTCTATCTGCTTACACGGACTAGAAACCTGGATTATACCTGCACCGAGTCTAATTAGCACTTTCCCCGCACAATAAGTCCCTTCGCCTAATGCCTGCCACCTGTCCACGTCATCTCGACAAGTCTTATCCACCTTACTGCATGTGACGTCTTCCCAACCGCACATCTCTTGCGATGCTTGTACATCCGATCTTTCGTCTTTTCTCTTTCCCCGTGCTCCCTTTCGTTGCGCTTCTTCTGGCCACCCAAGCTCACGTCATCAGAACAGTGACGCCCGGCGTCATCGCCCCTCCCTCAGATTCACTAAAGCACGGAACCCGTCGTTAAATTTCACGGCCCCTTATACCCGCTCGTGTTTCATCGTAAACCCTCATAACCCCGCCATAACCCCTCACACAACCCGCCCGGCCGGCGCCGGCTCCCGCTCGTCCGGCCCCACGACCTTCACGTCCTGGTACCCCAGATTTCCGTTTGGTCCGGCGGAATGCCCCTCCTCTCCGGCGGAACTCGGTCCGGCGGCCCCGTTCTCTTTCTCGAATGGCAGCACATGGCCCTGCGTGTTCTTCCCCTGAGGAGGGATAGGGTATGCGCCCGAGAAGCACGCGTCGCAGAAGGTATCGGCCTCGGGACCCAATAGGTTATGGAGGCGGTCGAGGGGAAGGTAGGCGAGCGAGTCGGCGCCGATGAACTGCCGCGTCTCCTCGACGGACAACTTGAAGGAAATGAGCTCCTCGCGACTGCAAGGAGAAGGGTGAAACGATGAGCGTGTCAGCATGACCGCTGGCTTATCGCAGAAGGCTTTCCTTTTGGGTGGTCCTGGAAGTTTGCTTGTGCAAAAGCGACCGCTTCACTTGTAGGCCTACCAAGCTCCCAACGGAAAAACACTTCCCGTTTGGATCTTGTTAAAGCTCATGATATTGCACGGAAGAGCAGCAGGGAGAATAAGTCTTCCTCCCTGTTTCTCCTCCTGTTTCTCTTACAATATCATGTTTTCAACATAACGAGAGGAAGCTTCGCAAGCGTGCATGGGGGGGCGTTGAACTCTTCCTTAATCCTTCCAACTCCCGGGAGCTACCGACAGCACAAAATAGGACCATCTCACGCATGGCAGTTCGACTCAAGAAGACTTGGCTCGCTCCGATTCATACTCGGGACGCCGAAACAAGAGGGCTGATAGGCGTGCTAGCACACTTAGGCGTACAGTGGCAGGTGTTGGGAATGGGGATCTGCACCTCAACTTGAAACGTCCCTTTCCACTGTGCTCCAATCTCCGTCGGAGAGGGCCTCTTTGCATTTGAATTGGACAAGTCGTGTTAACCCAAACCCCGAAACCTCTCAAACCTTGTATCAAGATGCTTAAAGCGCACCTGGGCGTGTCGACGCCGTAATAGCAGGAGCCGGTGATTGGCGGGCTGGAGATGCGCATGTGCACCTCGGTCGCGCCGGCCTCCTTGAGCAGCCGCACGATCTTGGATGACGTCGTGCCGCGCACGATCGAGTCGTCGACCACCACCACGCGCTTGCCCTTCAGGACCGACTTCACGGGGGACAGCTGGAGCATGGCAGGGATTAGGGTTTAGGCTTTGCTATTTAGAGCTTAGGGTTCGGGTTCCCTACATCAGAATATGCTTCGGCAGAAAGGTTTGCTGTTTGCACGAGTCGTCCACTACACCCACGCGCTTGCTCTTCAGGGCCGACTTTACGGGGGACAGCTGGAGCAAAGCAGGGTTCACAGGTTGATAACCGTGGTGTGAGGTTCGAGATTTCAAGTTCCAAAAGGTGGGGTTTGGGTCTGAGGTTTGCTGTATGTGCGAACGGGTTGTCGAACACCCCACGCCCTTGCCCCTCAGGGCCGACTTCACAGGAGACAGCTGCAGCATGGTCGGGTTTAGGAGTTAGAATCGGGGTTTTTGGTGTACTCCCCCGGATTCAGATTTTGGGTTTGGGGTTTGAGATTTGCTTTTTGCGCAAATGAATTGTCAAACACCACCACGCGCTTGCCCTTTAGGACCAATTTCACCGGGGACAGCTGCGTCAAAGCAAAAACCGGATATTGTTCTCCGAAAGCAGATTCTTCAAAACAATCGGGGGACAGCTACAGCATGATAGTGATAAAGGGGTTACTCTTGAGAATCAGGGCGCTGACGGTCTCGTTTATCAAATCTAGGATAACAAAACGATAGCTGAAAAAGAGGAATCACGAGGTCAAGTTTTGAAAAAACACCAAACGGCTCTTCTCGAGGACGGGGATCTATCCAAGCAGCTTCGAGCATCAGTCCGGCCAGACCTTGCTTCAATTCAACGTCTAAGGATCCTTGGCTTAGCTCGACGTATGTCCCTTTCATTCCAAGCTTAGCATTCACCCATCAAGCTCAAAATCCCTTTAAACGAGGCAATCGACCGAAAATTGTCCTTCCTAACGACACTCCTATGTGCAAACGCAAGACCCGACTTGATGGAACTTTCTGGAACTCGTACCTCAAGCTTCGCCCCAAAATCCCAAATCTTTGGCTCGGCTGAATGAACGTCCTGCCCACGTTGTGTGACCGGATGAGGCTCTGGTGAACCAAGATTTTGTAGGCAACCGGAGTTTCTCCAGTCCAAGAAACATCAAAACCCAGCTTTGGAACTTTTTGAACGACCCACCTTGAGCTTCACCCCAAAGTCGCGAATCTTTTGGCTCGGCTCGATGAACGTCCTGCCCACGTAATGCGACCGGATGAGGCCCTGCTGGAACGGCACCCCCGCCTCCGCCGCGTAGCCCAGCGCGCACACCACCCCCGAATCCGGCACAGCAATCACGACGTCACACTCCACCGGAGCCACCTCCGCTGCATGAGCGAAGCAGATTGACGTCAGCAAAAAGTCGGTTTGCAAGTCAGTAGGTACATGATGTTGCGTCGGCTTCGGGGGCTGTCAACGCAGAGAAACTAACGGGCGGATGACTGTTCACATTCCGCTGGCGCCAAGAGCGACGTCAGCAAGAGGTGGATTTGCAAGTAGGTGGGAATGGGCCGGATTTGGGTCGAGTTCGGGGCTGTCAACTAGAAGAGTCGAGGGGCGAAGGAGTCGTCGGATCCTATAAAAGGCACATCTGCTGCAAGTGCCGAACCTTTGTAGCGACAAATTTGAGATCTCCAACTGCCAAAGATGAGTCAAAGTGTCCAATAGTTGCAGTGGAGTGAGCTGTCAGCTCTGAGATCGAGCCCAGTTGAGACGGATTATATCGAAACGGCCACGTTTGACTCAAACGCCCCAGTACACCAGTGGAAAAAAGGGACACAGAAACCGTAAGTTGCAGCTTCGCTTTGCATTCCACCCACATTACAACCACGACAAAGACATGGTCAAAAAGTATTCCTGCGACCAATGAAATGCGACTCACCCAGGATGCGCCCGTAGTTGTAGCGCTGCTCGTACACGCTCTTGCCGAACACGTCCGAGTTGGGCAGCGCAAAGTAAATGTGCTCGAACACGCACGCCTTGCGCTGCCGCTTGGGGTACAAACACATGCCCGACTCCCCCTCGTTTCTGTCAATGATAACCACCTCGCCCGGTTGGACTTCCCGCTCGTACTTCGCATCAATCAGGTCGAGAGCGCATGTTTCCGACGCGAACACGATTGCGCCGTTCGCTTTCCGGCCCATGACGAGCGGGCGGAAACCGTACGGATCCCGCAGGGCAACCAGTTTGTCGACGGTCAAAACGACGAGGCTGTACGCACCCTCGAGCTGCTCGCACGCCTCGACGAGTCGCTCCATGAACGTTGTTTTCTGTGATAGGCGACGACAGGTCATGTGAGCAGTTCTGTTGGCCGTCACGAGACAGCTCACCTCTTTGGGGAAAGCGAAAAATGTTACTGTGGGAGAGGGAGAAGCTTGGTGTCTAAAGAGAGGTCGCCTCCAGCTTAAGAAACTGGGCCAATAGAGCAGAACTTCGACGTGACAACTTTCAAGGCTCGTCAATCGTTGGCCATTGACCATCTATTTGAGTTTTGTAAGGACAAAAGGGTTCTCCAAGCTTCTCCAAGCGTCGCTGTGTTCAGGCAGGCAGGAGAATAGAAGTTTGTTACATTTACCAGCTCCAAATCCATTTGACGAACTGAGGAGGAACACCGGCCCTGCCGATCACAGCAAGTGAGGTACATTCTGCTGACATAACCGACCAACTTTCTCGCAAGGAACTCCCCGAGAATAAGAAAAGGGAAAGAAGCGAACCAGCGAACAGGTCTAAAAGTGAAGACGCATATGCAGAGAAAAAGAACTTAAAACAACGCAAAGACGAGAAACTCTCACCTTGCTGACGGCCAGCAAATGCAGGATGACCTCTGTATCCGACGACGTGTTGAAGATGGAGCCCCGCTCCTCGAGCTCTTCCCGCAGCTTCTTGAAGTTGACCAGGTTTCCGTTGTGAGCCACAGAGACTTGCCCAAACACCGTCTTCACGGTGAAGGGCTGCGGAGAGGGAGACGGGCAAGGTTAGAGTCAGTTGTTTGTGACGGGTTAGACCCTGAATCAAAGATGCAGTTACCGGTTCTCTGAATAGGCCGTGGTTGTGTGCAACAGAGGTCGTTCCAAACACTGTGTCATCGAAGTACGTGGGTAAAGTTGCTTTGAAATAGGATGGGAAGGGGAGGGAGTTATCCAGAGTACTCAAGAATCTTGTCAGTGCACATCAATGGTGCTGATATCCGCACGTGAACCTTCGCACGTACACGAAACCGCAACGCTACTGACCTGAACATTTTTCAGGTTAGAGCCCCCCGAAGTGGCATACCGCACATGCCCAATCGCAGAGTCCCCGACGAGCGCCGTCAGCTTCTGCTGGTTGAAAACGTCTGCCACCAGCCCCATCCCCGTGATCGACGTCAGCTGGCCTCCGTTCGAGGTTACGATGCCGGCGCCCTCCTGCCCCCGGTGCTGCAGCGCGTGCAAGCCCAGGTAACAGATCCTGCTTGCCTCGTCATCGCCGATGACCCCGACCACCCCGCACTCCTCACGCATCATCTCGCCCTCAGATGTGAAGTCGTCGAGAGCGGCGGCGATGGGGTTAACCGCAGGGTCAACTCTAGGGTTAGGGGAAGAGTTTGCGGCGGCGACAGCTGTTGCATTCGATCCGTGAGCTCTCAACATGAGCCCGGTGGACTGCGAGGAACTTTCGACAGCTGCCGCGGTGCTGCCGACAGCTGGCACTTCTTCTGATGCCCGCACCACCCGCTCCCTTCTCACAGGTGCCCTCGGGAGCGACTGCGCTCGCAACCGTTGCCCCCTCATCTGCCCTCCAAGCCCATCGCACTTGAGTGCGCACTTTGACCGCTTTGGTGCCCTGACAGCTGTCAAGGGGGCGCTGTGCAAACTAGCTTGAGGCGCCGGCGGTAATGATGACAGAAGGGGCTCGCGAGGCGCAACTTTGCTCATTACCGCACCTCCACCAAGGCAGGCGCTTGAGGCAGCCATGATGTCAAGGGAGACGTTGAAGATCAAGCACGGAGATCAGAATGGAGTAGAGAACGTCAGTGGTGTTTGGACACTTGGACAAAAAGGCGCACCATGATGGCACGTCACTAGACAAGGACAGGTCCTCTGGCTGCTGAAGTTGGTGGCGGCTAAAGATGGACGTTTCGTTCTTTATCAAGCAAGCGCTGCTGCTGATCTGTTCAGTGTTCCTTGCCAATGCCAACTTGAAAGGGCAGATGGGAGTTGAGCTCCGAGCCAACTTGAACTTGAAGTTCCAACTGCATTTTGCAATGCACGGTGCTGCAGCTGAAACACTCGACACAAACCATTCAAATGGCGGGAGAGATGCACAATGCAGATCGTCGATTTGGCTCCGGGCAGGTCAACTCGGACATATGGCCGTCAGATTTGACCACGTGGAATGGAATGAGAGACTGAGACTGT